GGGTTTATCTTGTTTGGGACTCTGCACTTCCTGGATTTGTATGTATGTTTCCTTTGCCAGGTTAGGTAGTTTCCCGTCATTATTTCTTCCCATATGTTTACAATCTGTTTTTTTCTGTCTTCTCCTTCTGGGACCCCTGTGGTTTGAAAATTGGTAGACTTGATGTTGTCCCACATGTCTATTAAACTATTGTCATTTTTTAAGATTCTTTTCTTGCTGTTCCAATTGGGTGTTTTTTTACTACCTTACCTCCCACATCACTGATTTGATCCTCTGCTTCATCTAACATGATGTCAATTTGTTCTAGTGTATTCTTCATTCCAGTTATTGTATTCTTCAGTTCTGATTGGTTGTTTATGTTTTCTTTCTTTTTTTGTCTCTATATCATTGTTGAAGTTCTCCCTGAGTTCATATGTTCTTCTACCATGTTCATTGCATAGTATTTTGAATTCTGTATCAGATAGATTGCTTGTATTTATATGATTTAGTTCTTCTGGAGCTTTGCCCTTTTCTTTTATTTAGGACTTGTTTGTTTCCTCATCTGGTTGACTCCCTGTGTTTATTTCCATGTCCCAGGTCTATATGGTCTGTCTCCTGGTTTTTTAGGGTGGCCTTACATAGGAAGTGGACAGCGTTCCAGTCTTTGAACTAGTCTTGCAGTTCTAGTCACCTGAGCCCATTGCACCAGGGGTGTATGTACCCTCCTATTTTAGTTGTACCTCTTGCTGGTTGTATGTCATTGGGTGGGGTTGACCCTCAGGCTGACTGTGAAGCTTGGATATGACTGCAGTGGACAAGCTGTTGTGTGGGACCTGACCCTACCGATTGGGTGTTGATTTAGCACCCAGTGTGGCTGTGATACCAGCCTAGGCTACCCTTTGGGTGTACCATTTGTGAAGCTGGTTGGGTGATTCTCTGGTGTGGTCTGGATATGTGTTGGGGCTGGAGTCTCTCGGGAGTGGTTTCAGTGCAGGTCAAGGTGAGCTACCACTTGTGCTGGGTTTGGTGCCTCTTGGTAGGCACTATAAAGTGATCTGCAGTTGGGTATTGTTCATGCTGGGCTTGGAGGTGCTTGAGAGAGGCTACACAGTAAACCGAGGTTCCCTCCCATGATTGGGACCCTTTGCTGGGCACTACAATGCAGGCTGAGATCAGCTGCCACTTTTGCTTGGCCTGTGGCTTTTTAGTTGGAACTATGTTGCAAGCCAAACTGGCTGCCACTTATTCCAGGATTGGGGCCACCGGCTGGAAGTTTCAACTTAGATTCTAGTAAGTTGAGACTGGTTTCTACTGGTACTGAACTTGGGGCCTCTTGGGAAGAGCTACAATGCATGCTGAGCCTGGTTGCTGCTTATTTGACGTTTGCAGAACTTCTGCAGCACAAGCCAAGGCAGGCAGCTTATGTGGAAGAGCAGCTCGGAGACAAGAGCCTAGTGAGCAAGTTGAGTGGGATCTTAGGAATGATCGGAGTGAAGCAAACAGTGTTAGTCATTTTTATGAAGAGCACCACGGATTTGGTGCCTGTATGCAGGGGGCTGGGTGGGGGGAGGAGAGATCAACCAAGGAACAAGGGCACCTGCCAGTACTTCGTCCCTGGTAAGAATTGTCCCAACCGCTGCCCCTCCAGCCTTCACCCTGAAGTTAGTTCCACTCCTCTTTGTGTGTTTCTGGCACTGTTTGAGTTGCAGCCCTGCACAAGTTTAAGAGTAAGTTCGCGAGTCAGTGAGTCTGCATAGTCCCTTTAAAAGCGGCCTTAGTCTCTGGCAGTCCTCTTGCCTTTGGACACAGTCCAGGCTGTTTTGCATAGCCCAGTGTAATGGTGTTATGAGGACTCCTACCCAGCACTGTGTGGCCCTGTTTGGGGAGTCCAGTGCGGGGCTGTGACTCCTCACTCCTCAGGGCAGACCTCCGCAGCTGCGTATACCTCACATTCTGTAAATGCTACACCATGTTTATGGGACCTGCCTGGTCCCAGTATCCACTCCTCCTGCAGTCTTGACATGCCTGCTGCTTTATATCTTTAATTACAGCAGTTCTGTTCAGCTAGACTTCAGGAGGTTCTCTGTGGTTGTTCTATAATGTAGTCATGATTTTGGTGTGATTGTGGGAGTTGACGTGCTGGAGGTCAGTCTCTCTTTTTTTTTTTAATTCTTTTTTTCCTCTGTTTTCTAGTTCAGTTGGGTGATTTCCACTTCCTTGTCTTTCAGCACATGGGCGTATTCTAGAACATATTTTTTGTCTCATTTTGGTTCTGTTTTTTCGTCTCATTTTGGTTCTGTTTTTTTCTATGAATTAGGCAGAACAGCAGCCTCTCTCAGTCTTGAAGGCATGGCCTGGTGTAGGAGCTTCCCCTTTGTAAACTGCATGCATCAGGTGTCTTTGTCAGCTGGAGCGTTTGTGTGCTCTAAGGGACCCCGGGGGTCAAGCTGCACTAGGGCTGCCTTGGCAGAGCAGCTGGGACTACACACTGTTGGAGCTAGCTCAGGCCTCCTGGGGTTGGGCCTCACGGGGACCATGTCGACAGGCTGGCTTGAGCTGCAGTTGGAGAGTCTAGGACTGCAGGGAGTCCTGGGACAAGCCACGCCAGGGGCTGGAGCTTTAGTTGTAGCTTAGTTGGTATAGGGGCAGTTCACACCAGAACTGTCTTGGCAGGTCAGTTGGAGCTCTAGTTGCAATGGGCTCAGGTCATGGGGAGTCCTGGGGGCAGCATAGTCTGTGGAAGGCCCAGGGACAAGCCACACTGGGGCGGGAGCTACAACTAGAGCATGTATGAGCCATGGGAAGTTCTAGGGGCAAACTGCTGGGGTCACCTTGGAAGGTGAGCTGGAAGTGGTTACTGGAACAGGCCACTGGGAGACCTGGGGACAAGCCAAGGAAGGAGATGCTGTGTGCCTGAAAACCTTAGCTGGCTTTGCTAGAGTGCCTGGGTCATCATCCTGCCCAGGTGATGAAGAGGTGGGGAAGGGAAACAATTGGTGCTCTGTGGTACCTCTGATACTGGAGAGAGTTCCCACAACTTCCAGTTTTTCTCGCTTTTGGCAGATAGCTTAGGTGCCTTTTAAACCACTTTTCACCATGTCCCAGGGTAGGTGAGTCTGCTTGTGGGCCCTTCAGTGAAACCCTCCCTCGTTCGGGTGGTTGCGTTGGGGGTGGGGTTCCCACTGCACTGGTGCCATGTCTCTGTCTCTCCTACTGTTTTTGTATGGTCTCTCTTCGTTTGTTGTGCGGAAGCTGTTTAGTCAGCCCGTGATTCTTAGGGGGAATTGCTCTGTGGGTGTAAATTCTGTGTGTTCTTGGGAGGAGATGAGTTCAAGGTCTTATTACTATGCTCCATCTTAGACCAGAAGCCAAATTTTACTTTTGTTTATTCATAATTTAACTAAACTTGTGGCCTGTGTTGTGGAACAGTGGCATAAGCTTGAATAATTTTTCTTATGGCTAGACATGTCACTGGCCACTCTTTTCTTACTAGTGCCACCTGATTCTCTGACCTTAAGCTTGGACCTGTTCTCTGTCTGCATTCTGTAGGTGATTGCATTAAGGCCCTTGTCTTTAAATATCATCCACACTCTGATGAGTTTAATCTTGTTTGGCCCTCTTCTCTAAAATCTAAATTTAAACTTAAAGATTTTTAAGACATTTTGAAAAATATTTATTATTAGAAAGAGGGGAAAGGAGGGAGAAAGGGAGAGAAACATCAATTGTCTATCATACACACCCCCACTAGGGACCAAACTTGCAACTCAGGCACGTGCCCTGACCAGGAATCAAACTGACCTTTCACTTTGTGGGTAACACCCAACCAATTGAGCCACATCAGTCAGGGATAAATCTAGACTTTATATATAATTTGTTATTCTGTACTAATTGACATCTTTTGCATAACAGATCCAAATCCAAATTCCTGCAATCTCCTTTGTGCGCCAAACCATTCTTTAGCAGCCATTCCCACCTCAGTTAATGGCAGTCTTTCATTTGTTTAAAGCAAAAATCTGTCACTCTTGACTTTTTCCCCCTCATATTTCCACATCCAGTACTTAAGTCCTGTTGGTGCTGCCTTCTACCTATAGTGCATCCCACTGTCCCACCTCCACTGTTAGCACTTGGTTCGTCTCTCTCACAGTGGACTCTGAGCTGCTCTCGCCACTTCCACTTTTGCCCCTGTAGTCTGCTCTACAGAGCAGCTAGAGCAGTAGCAGCTAGAGGAACCTCATCAAAACAGTAAGTCTCTTATGGGAAACCCAGTGATTTCTTATTTCACTGAGAGTGAAATACAGAGGTCTTAAAATGGTCACAGACTGTAAGATCTGGCTCCTTATTTCTGTTCTCTTATCATTTCCTGCTACTCTTCACTTGGTCCTGGCACACTGGTCTCCTCACCCACTACTCAGACATGCAGGCACGCTGCCACCTGCTCTGTACTGGCCCATCTCCTCCACCTCTGTGCTTGGCCCGAGAATGCTCTGCCCGGGAAAATCCTGTCACTGCCCTCGGGTCTCACCCAGGTGTCACTTTCTTTTGACCATCATATCTATTGTTGTATTTCAACTCTGTATTCTCTGTTCTTTTTTTAAGATTTTCAAAATTTATTTTTAGAAAGGGGAAGGGAGAAAGAGAGGGAGAGAAATGTTGTGTGAAAGATACATTGGTTGCCCTTCATATGCCCCCAACTGGGAACTTGGCCTGCAACCCAGGCACATGCCCTAGACTGGGAATTGAACTGGCGATCCTTTGGTTTGCAGGCAGGCACTCAGTCCACTGAGCCACACCAGCCAGGGCTTCTCTACTTTTCTCTACCGTTTTTTCCATAGTGCCATCTAACATGTATTTATATTCCATTGTTAGTTTACTCCCACAAGATCGAAGGTAGAGATTTTTGTCTGTTGTTTACTGCTCAAACTCCAGTGTGTGAAATAGTGCTTGGCACACAGAAGGCAGTCAGCAAGGAATTACAGAATTTTTTATTGTATTATGAAAGAAACTTTCATCTTGCTCTTCAGGTTTATCTCCAACAAGTATTTAGTGAAACGACAGAGCAGAGACTGTGATGTGGAGTGGGGCTATGCCTTTGATGTGCATTTGAATGCTTTTTATCCTCTCCTACTCATTCTGCATTTTATCCAACTTTTTTTCATTAACCGTAAGTAACAGTTACTTCTTAAAATATTATTTAAGTCTGTTGAATGCAGTGAAAAGTGAGTCATTGTCTGCATCTCTTTACCAGATGTCATCCTAACAGACACTTTTATTGGATATTTGGTTGGAAATACCTTATGGTTGATTGCAGTTGGCTATTACATCTATGTAACCTTCCTGGGATACAGTGGTAAGTAATTTTTTTTGGTTGTCTGGGAACATAACAGGGTGAGGGAAAGTTGTAACACTCATACTATTAGCTTATGATTATGGAGCCCTCGCGAGCACTGTCCCAAGTATTTTATATGGATTATGTCATTTAATCTTCATAATTATATATAATATAGGTTTACTTATCCCCATTTTTCAAATGAGGAAACAAGCACAGAGAGAGAGAGAGAGAGAAATAAGTAACTTGGTCCTGGCCACTCATCTCAAAAGCAGCATGGCAGGTCTGTAACAAATTTTATCATTTCAAGGAATCATGTTAAATGATACTATCTCCACATTACCTATTGGAACCAACCCATGACCAGTTTCTTTCCCAGGCTCTCAGGTTCTGGGTCACCAATGATAGGTTAGAGAGAGGAAAGGGTTGGTGGGATGAATTTTAAAACTTTTGCCTCATTTTCCACTTTTATGATCACTATATGGTTCTGTAAATGATTCCAGATCAGGCCCACCCAACTTCTACTGACCTGAGGATGTGTTTGCAGGTTTATTGTTAAATCCTGCTATCAGTTTATTTTAATATGAATGAGAAACATATTTACATTATTCTTCATTTGTTAAGAAATTATTTCCATTAAATAGAGCTAAATTAAATCTGGAGATCTTATAACTTAATGTTACATGTTTTTTTGTTTTAACCCTTTCCTGTCACTCTGGATGATTAGGACTTTAAAATACAAACCATTACTCATCTGTGACTGGCTGCAGTGGTCAGAACTGTCCTCACCCTCTTGGCTGCTTTGCCAGAGACCACCTAATCCCCTCAAATTGTAATACCTTGTTTGGATAGGGAGGCCTTTCTCCAGTTAAGGGGAGATGTTTGTGTCATGTCATACATTTAGCATGCTGCAAGATTGTGGCTTTGCTGAGTGGATTTTTAATTGCTTTCCTGGTAAATCCCTGAAGTTTAGAACAGTTTCTTTGAGTACATCTCGGTAGTATGGTTCTGGCTACATAGCATCATCTTGATTGAAAATATTCTCTTTGGCCCCACATGTTGTATAAGAGCTGTCTTTCAGAATGTTCATTTATCAGTCATATTTCCTCTTTAAAATATGAATTTATACTTTATTTTCCAGCATTGCCATTTTTGAAAAATACGGTAATTCTTCTCTATCCATTTGCACCTCTCATTCTGATCTACGGGCTGTCACTAGCGCTAGGATGGAACTTCACCCAGTCGATGTGTTCCTTCTACAAGTACAGAGTAAAATGAAAAAAGTGAGACTGTTACATCTTAACTGTGTCAACAGTGTTGGTGAAGTGATTTCTTGTGAAACTTGTAAGTAAACTCATTGTAGATATCTTAAAGGTGTAAAGTTTGTGAATTTGAGGAAATATATGTTAACATTATTGTCAATACATTCCTTAAAACTAATTAATGTACATTTCTGTAATAAATTTTTTAAACTAAAGCATGTATTTTATTCTAATATTTGTACACACAAAAATGATATACAAAAAATACTGAAGGCATGAGGAAATTAGAAAGGTAAAGCTTTTTAATGTGAATTCTTTTTGAGTTTTTTAATCTTTTTTTAAAATTGTTCGAATACAGTTGTCTCCATATTCCCACCACCACTTTCCCCTGCCCTGCGCACCCTGCCCTCCCACCCTCAATCCTACCCCTCTTTGACTTTGTTCATGGATCCTTTATACATGTTCCTGAAAGGGCTTTTTGGAGAATGTGGTAATAATATGCGTCCTCTTCCCCCACTGTTGCAAGTTACATTTTGCAACATTGCTGCCTCCATTTTGTAATGGGTTATTTTTAAACATTTATGTAGGGTATGTTACCTTAGTCTAACCTTCAGGCTCTAAATATTAATAGTCTTTTCTCTGCAAAACAAAACAAAAACACAATACTTAGAGTGAACAAGCCCATCTGGCTACACTTAATTTGGAAGTTGTATAGTGCACATAATATATGAGTGAATATCTTATCACATTGATAACCACTGTCTTAACATCATTTTAAAGACTTTTAAACTGACTTTTAAAGTGATGTTATGTCTTAACATCATATCTTAACATCTTTTAAAGACTTTTCTTTAAAAGATTTTCTAAAACCAACATAATAGTTCAAGTAAACTATTCTTTTATCAATGTTAAACAAAACCAATAAAAACAAAAAACTTGCTGCCCATTAAGTCTTACCTATTTTTATTAGGAGTCTTGAATTCAGCATGGCTTTTTAAACTTCTTTATTTCAATACACATGAATGGTTGTGGCACAAACAGTGATGGAAAGGCACAGTCAACAGGACCAGTTATTAAGTTATAGCAGCATATTTGAAAATAAATAATCTTCCTTTAAAAGTCTAACAGGTACCTAAGATATTACTACAGATATTACCCCTTCAACCAGTGAAGACATTGTAAAGAAATATGTACAATACATTAAAGACAAAAAAAAATGTACAACCTGGAAAAGCAGTTCCTCAGGCAGCTTCTCCAAGGATTACTTCCAGAAATATCCCCAAATGCAAAGACCATCTTTCCCAACAGTGTTCTCAATGAGAAACACTTAGTTTTTCATTCTATGAGTGAAACGTGATTGTTTAATCAGCTGAATTCTGAATCTTTCCTAGAAAACATTACTGTCTAAGTATCAAATCTGCTGGCAGTACATATTACAGTTCTGGCGATATCAGCCATTTTTAAGGCTCAGAAAAATGTATTCAAGGGGTATTTTCATCCAATTTCAACAGCATTAGAATGCTCATCTCAGTAGGATACTGAACTTTTGATTCCATGGCAGTTTGCCATAGGAGCAGTGTCTGAGAGAACACCCCACAAAAAACTCCTTATTTTACTACACGACTCTTAACATTTTCATTGCAACATTAACAACACTGGGAACAGCACAAAGAACAATCCATTCAACATTTAGTTTCTTGGACATTGTCTTTCAAATTCTCAAACTGAGTGCCAGCTTATTCTTGTCTGTTCCTTTGAAAGTGATCTAGTTAGCATCCACACTGGTGAGGGCAGCGTTTCGGGTGAGAAGACTTTATACACAGACATTGATATACATATATATTTAACAAATCCTTTTATTAAAAAAACACTGTGGTAATAGTCTTGTTAGTGTTATATGTCCACATACATTAAAGAAAATAAGGATAGTAGTTACGGCATACATCTGTTAAGATTAATTAAAATTTACAACAAACTAAACGTTCCACACATAGCTTGGAAAAGTTGTCTTTTTTATAAAATAGATGGAATACGTTAAGAGTTCCTTTAACACTAAGATACAATTTTGACTCCACTTTATTTCTTTTTAAGATTTTCTTTATTTTTAGAAAGAGGGGAAAGGAGGAAGAAAGGGAAACATCAGTTGATTGCCTCTCACACCCCCCTACTGGGGACCTGGCCTGCAATCCACGCATGTACCCTGACTGGGAGTCTAACCAGCAACTTTTCAGTTTGCAGGCCTGTGCTCCATCCAGAGCCACACCAGCCAGGGCGACCCCAATTTCTGACCTGACAGTGTTAGCCTCTCATTCTTTCCTTTAGCCCTACTTACATCAACAGTATGTATGGCATTAACATAAAAATTAATGGAAAAAACAAAATAAAAACACTTGCAGTTAATGGCTTGGAAGCAGAGATATTTTGGAAAACATTCACATAGTACAAAAACTTGGCTGGGACATACAGGATATGCTCTGTGCTTAGACAAGGTTTTGGTTTAAAACAGTACTTCAATACAAAGTAGATTATATGATCTCTACATAAAGGCAGAAGGGCTTTTTCCTTTTAAATATCTTATTTAAAAATACCACTGTTCATCATTCTTAATACTCTGACAGACTCAGAGCAGACTAAATCAATATAAAGTAGTACTTCCAGGAGAAAGGTTCCTTATACATTACTTGGATTCTACTCCTACAGTCTCATTCTGACAGTCCTTTAGAAATATTACTAAGATCCTGCAAGTTTCTGTCAACAAACTTCCAATGAAGACAGATCTCTGACACAGAAATTCCTGCTGAGGCCCAGATATAGGATATGCTAGTAAGACTTTACTCATGCATTTATTGAGAAATAATCACCCATACTAGAGGGAATCTTCACCTTTTAAATACTGTATTCATTTTTCATTGCTACATAGCACATCACAAATTTAGATACCCATTTCATATCTCACGCAGTAGGCATGTAAGTCTAGGCAGGCTTGACAGTTTTCTGCTCAGGGTCTCAGGCTGGAATCAAGTGTTGGCAGCCAGGGCTCTTATCTGCTGGAGGTGAATCCACTTGCTGGCACATCCAGGTTGTTGGCTGGATTAGGTTCCTGTGGCTATGAAGGTCCTTTCCTCACAGCTGTCAGCTGAGGTCTTCCTCAGCTCCCTAAGGCCATGTGCGTTTCTTATATGGCCTCTATCTTAACACCAGCCAATGATGCCTCCTCTTGCTTTGCATTTCTAACTTCTGCAACCAGACTGAGAAAACTCTGTTTAAAGGGCTCACATCATAAGATCTGCTGTTCCCAGATAACCTTTTGCTGTGTAACATAATTATGGATCATATTCCCAGGTTCTACCCACACTCAAAGGGGGAGGATATCATACAAGGTCACCAGGGGTCTTTCACAAACTTCCGGCTACTACAAATACACACTGTTATTACAGCAATCTCTCCAAACATGCTGTTCCATAAAACCAAACTTGTCTTTGCGGACAAAACCATTATTGGGAAACAACTTTTTTCCATTACTATGACAGATTTAAAAGAATACTTAATGTTGCTGAAACTTTTTTAAATAATAAAATGACACCTAATTATTTAGTGATGGAATCATTGACTTGAAAAAGAATACCTTTGTTCAAAGACATTTCCAATGGTTAAATTTATATACTTGTCTATAACAGAAATTCATCTGTGTGCTCAATAACCCATTGCATTCACTTTTTCCAAAGTTTCAATCTACTTCACACCATTGCTCTTTTGTTGACATAGAGGGCACGCTATAAAGAACACTGAGACTTAGGACAAAACACAGAAGTCTTGGCTGCTCTTAGAATCCTAGAAATAGGGCCTCAACCTCTTCTCACCCCAAATGCTCATCCATCACTTGCATTATGATATATTCTGCATGTCTACTTTTAACCTAATGATCAAAATTCATTATTCTGGTTTCTAAAATGTTTACATTAGCAAGCTCAATACCGTGCTGGCAAACAAAATTTTCTGCAATGAAGGAAATGTTCTGTACCTGTGCTGTCCAATCCAGTAGCTAGTGAGCACCTAACTGTAGCTAGTGTAAGGGAGGAGCTGAATGTCTTATTAGAGAGCCACCATGTATCCAGTAGCTACTATTGAGGACAGCATAGCTTGTCTAGAGTTTGAATAGTTTATGTGAAGTAAACACCACATGCCAAGCCATGCCTCATTTATATAAGTAGTTTCACCATTTGATTTTCCCCACTCTCTATTTTGGTAAAAGTGATTCAGTGTCCTCTCAAAGTCAAGATGTTACTTTTAGTTTCAGGATTCCTCACTGCTGATCTGTCCACACTCCTCACTCATTAACATGACTCTTATGGACTACCACTAATTTTCTTGCTTGAGGAAAGCATGGCTGCTTCTAATTAGTGTAGAGTTCAGGGAAAGAAGAGAGTAATTAAAAATGAGACTGAGAACCTGCTGTCCACAGAGGACAGGGAAGAAGTATGAGTCGGAGTCTTGCCCTCAGGAGTTAGAAGTTGGTAAGAAGACATGCACATGTGTACACACTCCCCGTAATCAAAAACTGGAGAGGTAAGTGGGCATGTAAGTGTATGGCAAGGATGGTAGGTAAAGCAAGCTAAGGAAGAGGACTGGGCTGGAACAGCTGGCCCCTTATCCAGACACTGGGCACCTGCCATGTGCAGGCACTCCCGTGGGCACTGGTAACAGATTCACGGGGAGGGGAGTCCTTGAAGATAGACAAGATTTGGCTAAAAATATTCTCAGAAACAGGGATGATCAGGAAAAGACTCAGTCTAAAGCCTGAGATGTCCCAATGAATGGCAGGGGGCCACAACAACTGTGACCCCTCTAGATTTTCTGAGCATGGCATTTCTCCTGTAATCAGAGTTGGCTGCTTAGGAAGCAGGGAAAAGAAGGGACTTCTGAATCTACCTCCAGATTTTACCTCTGAATACTTAGCAGCAATTTAGTATGTTAAGCTAGTGACATAATTTTATAACGAAAAGTTATTTTCAAGTAAAATCTGCCGGTAGGCACTGAGCCAGGAAAATTTCAGAAGAAAACCAATGGTAAAATTTTAATGAAAAACAGGCCTGCAAACCAAAGTGTCGCGGTTCAATTCCCAGTCAGGGCACATGCCTAGGTTGCAGGCCAGTTCCCAGCAGGGGATGCATGAGAAGCAACCATCCATTGATATTTCTCTCCCTCTCTCCTTCCCATCCCTTCTAAAGACAAATAAATAAAAATCTAAAATAAATAAAATAAATTTTAATGAAAAAATAAATGTAAAATTCCCAATAAAAATTTTAAGTGGAGTTTGACATAAAAATCATTATTGGCAACATGTGACTTTCTATTTAAAAAAACTAACTAAAAATTATTCTAATATGGAGTAATGATAACTACCCTATCAGTGCTTCCCTGCCTGTCACTTCATAACAGTGCTGTTTGGTCAGCACACGTAAGCACGTGAGCTCCTCCAGGCACACAGCTGCCAGCTGGAATCCCCAGCCACCTAAGGCCTTAGCCAATGACAACTGAAAGCTCCAGATCAATTTCCACCACTGTTATTCGTCACCCACCTGCGACCCACCTGAGGCATGCCAGACTGGTTGGGAACTGACACTGATAATTCATAATTTTTTTTGAAGTAAAATACTTTTGTAAAGATCACTGATTGCTAAGACTGATAATAGTTTTGTTATAGCTAAGCAATTTATTTGAATGTTTCAGAGTAATACTTTTTTTGAATATGAATTTATAAGTTCTAATGCAATAAAGTAAGTCGTTTTGAGAAAACACAACTGCTATATTATCTTTCACCAAAAACCAATATTACGGTTTGGTTTTTCTTTAAAATTAAACCAGTTATGACACACAATAGCATTATCTAGAAAACATTTCGTCAAGACTCATGGAATATAGACAAAGATTAAAAGAGAGGGTTTGTCATATGTCAGAAGAAATGTAATGAGTTGTCTGTAATAATTTGGGTTGAAAGCATCACCCCTGCACATTAAAATTCACCAGACTGCCCTGGCTGGTGTAGCTCAACGGAATGAACAGGCTGCAAACCAAAGGGTCGTCAGTTCGATTCCCAGTCAGGGCATATGCCTGGGTTGTGGGCCAGGTCCCTCATATGGGGTGCACAGGAGGCAACCACACATTGATGTTTCTTCCCTCTTTCTCCTCCTCTTCCCCTCTCTCTAAACATGAATTAATAAAATCTTTAAAAGTAATAATAAAATATCAGACTGATTTTTCTGTTACTATACACCATACACAGTATAGTAAAATAACCTCAGAAAGGACATTGGTTTTTTTAAATCTTGGCTTTAAAGAATGAGAAATGCCTTTGAAAATATTTTGTTTGAAACCAGTGATATAGAAGTCCTCCCTTATCCAAGGGAGGTACGCTCCAAGACCCCAAGTAGATGCCTGAAACCATGGCTAGTACAAAACCCTATATATTCGATGTTTTTTCCATATATAAACATACATACCTATGGTAAGATTTATAAAGTAGGCACGGTAAGAGACCAACGACTAATAACAGATATAACAACGTACTGTAAAAAGTTACGTGAATGTGGTCTCCTGTGAGATCCACAAGGGCCTGTGTGATGCATGAAACGAGACGCACACACTAGACAAAGGGCGATTCAGACCCAGGCGGGACGGACGGGACGGCGCGAGATTTCATCACACTACTCAGAACAGCAGTTGATTTAAAACTTATGAATTGTTTATTTCTGGAACTTTCCATTTAGTATTTTTGGACCAGAGTTGACTATGGATAACTAAAACCGCAGAAAGCAAAACTACAGGTGGCAGGAAGCTACTGTAAAAAAGTAGTTCAATTAGGAAATCAATCTAGAATTACTCTTGAGTGGCAGTGCATTTGAAAAATGGCATTAACCTATAATGTTTGCATTTCCAGAGAAAAATATAGAAGGAACTTAAAAAGCAAGGTAACCATTTTTCAAAAAAAGTATTGATTCAAAAATTTACTGCACAAAAATATGTACTTCTTAAGTGTTTCTAATAAATTAACTCCATAACATTTTCATGTATATTTATATATATATAATCCCTGATAATCTATAAAAGAGGGTCTATAATAGTAAAATAAATGAATTTCAAAAGTACCCCCTTCATAAAATGTATTTACCATTAATTTCTTCTCAAATTTAAGGAATGTAACAATATGTACAACTCTTATGTATTAGTATAATACCAAAATAGTACAAGTCATATTAACAGGCTGTCATAAGTGTAAAATGTTTGAGTCAAGTGAAAATTGGAGGACAGCTTAGGTTTGAATGAATATAATTGTCTGTGGAAGGTTCACTTTCCAAGTGGAAATGACAATCATCTATCTACAGTAGATTTCACAAGAGGTAGCGTTCAAGTAAAAAAAAAAAAAAGTACATGCTTTGTTATCTTTAATCAACAAATTTACAGGAAAAAATGATGTACTGGTTTCTTAGGAGAGAATCAGTTGGTGACTTTCTTAATATGAATCTGAAATACAAAATTGTGAAGAGTACAATGAGGCAATTATTTTTCATTTCCAAAAGCCTTTAAATATGAAATCAAAATGTGGGAAAAAAGCAGACTCTAAGCTGTTTCACTGAGGTAATATATTGTCTTACCTCATTAAGAATGGCCCAGACAGCAGAATTCTGAATAACTGAAAGTCGAAAGGCTGCAATGGGGTTTAGTTTGGGATCCACCATTCCTTCTGCAACACCATTCTCAAATTTTCCTTCAAAATAAAAATCAACACTGGTTGGGTAGTCTGGAACAAGCATGCTTCAAACATCATTGACATAAAGCAGGAAAGGAAAACACCAAAATATTTCCAGTGGAAGTCTTCAGACAGGGAATGGTTGACTTTTTCCTTCTTCCTACTTTTATTCAACTTTACAATAGAAACAATCCATTTGAAGAGGCAGAGCTATATTTTTCTTATAAAGAACAAAACAAAAATATACTGTGTACAAACTTCATGGAGGCTTAACTCAATAAATTTCAATGCTTTAATTAGACACACATATTAATACAATGGTTGGCCTTGGGCAGGGGCTCAACCTATGTGTATTTTTTCCAAGGGCACATCTAGAAGGAATTACAAAGTGATACCTTCTCTCAGCAAATGCAGGGTAAAACTCCATTATAAATGGCAAGTTGAAAAAGCTCTCCCATAAGGATAAGGACCAAGAACTACTATAAAAGTTAATGTGCTCTGTACCCAATTTTTCTTGCTGTGAGGAATACTATTTTTAAAACAAAACCAAATAATGCTGTTGAATAAGTGACAGGAGAATGATTAGTTCTGAGCCACATTTCCCCAAGCCAGGAATTGGCAAACTTTTTCTGTAATAGGCAGACAGTAAATATCTGGGGCTTTGTGAGCCAAAAGAAAAACAGGATACCACGTAAGTATGTATGTATAGAGAGAAAACAAATTTCCACAAAACTTACTCATGAAATTCAAAATATAATAAGAACAACAACTGAGTTCAATATATTCTCCTATTACAGGTGTACTAAAGAGAATGTAATTCTTTTGGGGGGGGGATAACATTTCAATTAACTGAAATTCAAAATCAGTGCTCCTTACCATCAAAAAATCAATTGCAAATGGTCTTATGTTAATGTGGATCAATGAAGATTTTATATACTTCACCCCAAATATTTCACACAGTTTAGATACTGCCTAATATATCGATCCACAAGCACATGACTGTAATGGAGCATATTTATCACTTGGAAGGTATTCATGGAATTCTTAGATTCTTCTCTTTATATTTGCCTTAGTGTATCATTACTTAAAGTGATTTATGGAAGCACCTCATTTAGCCTGATATTACTTGTAGTTCAAATAATGCTGTCATCAGTGACTTGACATCAATAAGCACTGTTTTGTGACTTTAGGCTGAATTTATTATGAAATAAGTCTGCAGCAAAAATTAATTCTCAAAGAGATAATAGTAGTCGAGGGCAGCTCTCCCACTTGGAAAAGTTTTAATCTTATTCCTGAGTTCAAAATAAAAAATATTTTAAGTCACTACTAAGTTGCAGAACTGCTGTGTGGTAGGGCAAGTCAGGATACTCAGTTCCTATTTCTGACCAAAATCCACAAAACTGATGATAACAAAGTCCATGAGAGTGAATAAAATTCACTGTAGACATTGCTAGTTCAATAAAATGACAAATTCAAATATTCTCTGTAAAGTGCCTGCTGATGAACAATAAAATAACCAGAGGCATTAAAAACTTTACATTTTCACAAACTTTGTAAATTTATCCAATTAAACCTTCTCCACATATATTTTTACCACCATTCACTGTAACACATCTTAGCAGATTCCACTTGAGGTTTTACCAATTTTGTGTTCTCTCAACTTGTCTTGAAAATATTCTTGTCTGTAGTTGTTCCACAGACTATTCAGAGACCAATTCTTCAGTCACTTCATTGTGGCACTGGCTCCAAATAACAGGGCAGAATCAGTAACATTTGTCAACTTATCAAGAGCCAAGGAAATAATTTAAATAATTTGCTTTCTGACTATTGATATTATTCCCCAAATCTTCAACTCTTCAAGTAATTATCGCTGAAAACCTAACAGTTTAAAGTTTTTTATTCTCTGCGCACATATATATCTTTGGCCACTGCAATTAAGTGTGATTTGATTAACTCATGGTTGCTAAGTGGTTTTATCTGTTTAACACATGAGCCATTTTAAAATTCACTTTGGTTACATCCTCATTTGAATTCATTTTGTGAAGAAATTCTGCTGTGATAAAATATTCCATTTAAAATTTTCTAAGTTTTCTGATCATCGCTTTCCTGTGAGTGGGGAATATTGTGAGTGCATAGTACGGTTATGTCTTCAATAACCACACCAATCTGCCACCTCCTGTCATAAAATAACCCACGTTCCAGAGTTAAGAAGCATTCAGAGTCTACTTTTCTTGTTTCGACATGGTGGGTAAACACTGGCATTTTCTTTTTTTGTAAATGTCACAGTACAGTGATATGTGTGGAACTAGAAATACTGTCAAATTAGACATGCGTCATTGATATTTGGGGTTTTTTAATTTTTTTTAAGATTTATTTTTTAGAGTGGAGAAGGGAGGAAGAGAGGGAGAGAAAGAAGTATCAATGTGTGGTTGCCTGTCATGCGCCCCCTACTGGGAACCTGGCCTGCAACCCAGGCATGTGCCCTGACTGGGAATCAAACTGGTGACCCTTTGGTTTGCAGACTGGGAATCAGTCTACTGAGCCACACCAGTCAGGGCCATCATTGCTATTTGTAGTGCACAAAGCAACAATCTGAAGCAATGAGAGCACCATCTAAATCTCTACTGCAGCTTCTCACTCTGCTGTTGTAGCACAAAAGCATGCAGACAATCCATAATACAAATACAAATACAAATGAGCATGGCTGTGTTCCAACACAACTTTATTTATGGACACTGATATTAGAACTTTTTATAAGTTTTACATGTGAATGATATTCTTTTTATATTTTAACCATTTAAAAGTGAAAATAAACAATGAGAAAGAATTTTTAAAATGTTCTTAGCTCACGGTCCATTCAGAAACAGGCAATGAGCCAGATCAGACCCTGGGCTATATAGTTTGCTGACTCGTATGGTGTTATAGAGTCTACTCTAGGGTCTTACAACATATGGATAGACTGGACCTCCAATAAGATAAGATACAAACGAGTTGGAAATCATACCAGACAAGGCTTGTGTTCATTTGTATAAAAATACTAAAGGTACATACTCTAAAGTAGTGTTTTTATTGAAAAATTATTAATAAATTTATTTCATAAAAGTATGTCCACACGTGGGACTGGACCAGGACAGGGAATACAAAAAAGTATTACCGACTATTGGGTTATACAGGGATTTAAGACTGAAAATTACTGTGAAATTGAAACACTTCAACAATGAGATATCTGGCATTGTCACCTGATAAGCTCATTTAATTAGAAAAACAATTACCAAATAATGTAATCAGCCTCATTAAAACACTTCACCCAACAATTTTATTCTGCAGGTATGTTCTCACATGTGCAAAAATTGCAAACAAACTAGGTAACCATCACTAGGAGACTGGAGAAATAAATTATGGTATGCTAATATGAGGAAATGCTAGGCAGCCAATGAAAAAAAATGAAGGTAATGCAGTTGAAGACTTCCTGCCATCACTATATATTGTAGAGCAGGGGTGTCAAGCTCATTTTCACCAGGGGCCACATTAGCCTCAAGATTGCTTTCAAAGGGCTGAAGGTAATTTTAGGACTGTGTAAATGTAAATGCCTAGGGCAAGGAGCTCAGTGCTGCTGCTGGGCTAGAAACAAGGTGCTGGGTCGGATAAAACACAGCGGAGGGCCGCATTCGGCCCGTGGACCTTGTGTTTGCCACCTGTGTTGTAGAGAAACTCATATACATGCTTAAGTGTTCAAATCAGCATTGTTTATAATAATAGAATGATGGAAACAAACTTTATGCCAAGCAAGAGAATCTATACAGCAGTGAAAATGAATGAGCCATGGATACATACATCCATGTGGATAACTCTCCCAATGGTGAGAGAAAAATTACAGACTACAGAATGATGTAACATCAAATTTAAAAACAGTAAAAATAACAGCACTGCTAAGGAAAATTTTATACTTATGTAGTACAGTGCAAATGGAAATGATAGCCATAAAATTTAGCATAGCAGTTACCCTTGGGTGGAGGGGAAAAGAAGACATTAGGGAAGAATAACCGAATTGGCAAATCTTAGGCTGGATACACAGATATTATATTTGCATCTTTTTATATATCTGAAATATTTATAATTTTTAATTTTTAAAACTGTTCATTTTCCATATGCACATATGTATTTTGTTCAGTGGAAAAAAACAAAATGCAGAACAAGGCTGTACACTCAGTATGTGATCATTTGTGCATGACTGTTTTTAAGGAATTTATTCATTTTTATTTATGACTAGGCTACTTCTGAAAAGACACAAATCATTACAGTAACTGCCTCTATGAAGCATTGGTAGGAGGGGAAAGAAGAGTTTAGGTAGGGCTAAGTTTAGCCCTGTACAACTTGGGGAGTCATCCTGTACACGAAAAGGTTGTGGGTTCAATCCCCAGTCAGGGTGTGTGCAAGAAGCTGATTGATGTGCAAAACTTGATTCTTTTCCCTGATGCAGTAAAGAATTAAAGATCAGCAAGCTGATTAGTATACAAGCAGAGTTTACTAGTAGTAATACATTCTCAGGGAGGAGAATAGGCCTAGGCCTTAACCCAGCCATGAATATGTAACTCCCTCACCTCACCTGGCAAACTATGTAAATCCTCAGGACAAAGGGACTGGGGACCTATGCCTGTCTCACCCACCTTGGCTAGGCCCATTCTCTTCCCTGTGAATGTTCACTACTATGTGAACATAGTTGGCAAGAAGAACCGATTTTCCCATAACAGATGGGTCTCATCTGTATTTCTTTCTCTCTCTCTAAAAAACAAAATAAAAAATATACCCTCAGGTGAGGATATAAAAAAATGTTTATAAGACTTAGGTTTACCCTTTTAAATTTGTATTTTATAGCATGTGCATGTATTATCTTTCCAAACAACAAATTTAACTTCTGTCCTTAACCCAATGGTCTATACCTGGTAAGAAAGACAAGAGAAAAAGGGGGAAACAAAGGAGGAAATTACTAAACAATGACTAGAATCGTATCATAAAATGCTGGCATTGCCAGGGATTTCCAAGGTCATCCTTTTTGGATCTCATTCTGTCACCCTGACAGTGGTTCATTTCTTTTAGTATTTCTCTGCTAAAGGCTCTTCAGCCCTCCTTAACTTAATTACTAAATCTAGTATTCCTTTCACAAGACCGTCCTTGGCTGTCATGCCACACCCATCTAACCTACCCTACCTTCAACTGTCAGTTCTCTACTAATTGCCGTTGACTATCTATTGTATCTGACGTGGCTTCAGGCATAATTTGTTACTTGGTCAGACCCAATTAAATCTTGGCCCCTTGGTGGGCCAGTCTTGGTGGCTCCTTCCCACCCAAGAAGACTCAGTTACTAACTAGCTCTTTCCCTGGTTCTGTCAAACTCCTGGATAGTCTACAGTTTAGCTTGAATGTAGCTACCAGTCTCCTCTTATTTTCTTACAAACAAAACCCCAATTATATTCCACACTGCCCTTAGGCTTGAACTTCATCAAGCTCTGTTTCAAATAAATTAGTCCCCTTTAGGAGAGCTACAGAGCTCTCTGTTTTTAAGCCTGCCTCTCTTCTAGGGAAAACTATCTGTACAACTGCCCAGAATCTTTGGCAAAGGACAGCAGTCTATTTCCCCTGGAGTGACACCACTGCTTTATGAGCAGAGCACTGGGGAGTAGCAGTATCCTTCATTTTCTTGGCTTACCTCTCCCAGTGTGCTGGAGGCAAGTGACCTGAGGTGAGGTGAGTGATCAGGGCCAAGTCTTCTCACCTTGCTGTGCCTGAGAAAGAGCTTCTGCCCTATGAATGGAGGTTTGGTGAAGGAAGGGAACCTCAGATTTCTTAGCTGCTCTTGTCTGAACATAAAACACAGAGTTGGGGAGGAGGAGACGCATGCACCTGCCCTTCCCAGTGAGATTCCACAGGCCCGGCATGGGAGCTGGTGGGAGAGGGAGTTCAGTGTTCTTGGTTGTACCTGCAGAGAGTAGAGCTTCCATCTCACTGACTTGGGCAGTGTGGGTAATGAAGCAGGTGAGGGCTCAAATGCCTAGGATTCTTAATGTTCTTACCAAGATTCAGATTTTCATGAGTAAATGTTTCTCCATTTGCTGTATTCCACCCCCCCCCCCAAATTTTCATGCCCTAGCCAGGTGATTCAGTTGGTTGGGGCATCACCCTGTACACCAAGGTTACAAGTTCAATCCTCAGTCAGGGATTGTACAGGAAGTGACCCCCAGATGTTTCTTCTCTCTCTCCCTTTTACCTCTCTCTTTCCCTTCCTCTTTTTCTAAAATCAATAAAAGCATATCCTCAGGTGAGAATTAAAAAAAATTTTTTTCACCAGTTGTGTGGTTATTTCACAACGGAGAAGGTCTGTGAAGCCCCTCACACACAATTCCATTAAGCATACTTCTTAAGGGAGATTTTTTTCTGTTCACTTGAAAAACAAAACCACTGCTCCATGTTTCTGATGAATACTTTTGTGATGCAAGATCTAGGGGTCTGATGATTCACAAGTTCTCTTCTGGTTCTAAGTATGTATGAGTTGATCTTTGAGATGATCTTATCTTCAAATTGCTGAAGAGATACTTAATATAGATGTATCTATTTCCTATGCTACTTTTATAATCTAGAACACAACATTCTGAGAAATTAAATAATTGACAGGTAATAGGGTTAATAAATGTCTCAGTATACTCTGCCATTTTATGTATTTTTCTAGAGGTGGGCTAAGATATAACCCAAATATGAAAATAAACTCATCTATATACCCAACCTATATAGAAATTAGTCAAGGTTAGGATACAAGTCTTGTGGCAAAAATTGAATGACATTCACCAAATGTAAAACTGCTCTACAAGCTGTATCTAGCCTGTAAACTCACAATATGAATTTACCGGTATTCTTTTTTTCCCTACTAGTAAGAAAAACATTAATTCATTGTAAGCACAAGAAAATAGGCCCTTCTAGCCAAGATGGAGGTGTAGGTAGATACACTTCGCTTCCTTGAACAACAAAAAGAAGGATAACAACCAATTTTAAAACAAAAAACAATCAGTACTAACCGAAAAACTGAGTGGAAGTCTGACAACCAAGGAGTTAAAGAAGAAACATTCATCCAGACAGGTAGGAGGGGTGGAGATGGGCAGCCAGAGTAGACAGGACATGTGACAAGGTGGCAGCTGGTGGACCAGGCAGTCTCACATTCACATGCAGATAAACTGGAACAACTGGAAAGGGAGACAGAGCACACAACCCAGGGTTCCAGCACAGGGAAATAAAGACTCAAAACCTCTGGTGGTAAAAACCTGTTGGGGTTGCAGCAGCGGGAGAAACTGCCAGTGTCACAGGAGAGTTTGTTAGAGGGGTCCACAGGATCCTACAACATATACAAGCCCACCCACGCAGATGTCAGTACCAGGGCAGCACTTGAAAGGGCACAATCTGCTTGTGGGAAGCAGGCGAAGTGAATGAAAGCAAGGCAAGAACAGAGAGAGTGGCAATGTTCCTTCTCTGGCCCCTACCCCACATACAGCACCACAATATGGCTGTCACATCCTGGCAAATACCTAAGCTTCCGCCCCTTACAATGTAACAGATGTGCTGAGACAAACAAATATGGCCAAAATGAAGGAACAGATCAAAACTCCAGAAAAAAGAATTAGTCCACGAGGAGATAAGACAACCTATCAGATGCACAGTTCAAAACACTGGTATCAGGATGCTCACAGAAATCACTGAATACAGTCGCAAAATAGAGGAAGAAGTGAAGGCTATACAAAGTGAAATACAGAAAAAAAAACAGGGAACCAACAGTGAAGGGAAGGAAACTGGGACTCAAATCAATAATGATAAATATATAAACTGGAATAGAATGAAGAAACAAGAATTCAAGAAAATGAAGGGAGGCTTTAGGAATATCTGGGACAACTTTAAATGTTCCCACATTCAAATCATAGGGGTGCCAGAAGGAGAAGAGGAAAGCATGAAATTAAAAATTTATTTGAAAAAATAGTGAAAGAAAACTTCCCCAATCTGGTGAAGGAAACAGACTTCTAGGAAGTCCAAGAAGCTCAGAGAGTCCCAAAGAAGTTGGACCCAAAGAGGAACACACGAAAGCACATCATAATTACATTACCCAAGATTAAAGATAAGGAGAGAATCTTAAAAGCAGTAAGAGAAAAGGAGACAGTTACCTACAAAGGAGTTCCCATTAGACTAGCAGCTGATGTCTCAAAAAAAACCTTAGTGGTATGAAGGGGCTGGGAAGAACTCTTCAAGTCTCTTCATCCAAGTACCAACATCCAAGATCACTCTATCCAGCAAAGCTATCATTTAGAATGGAAGGGCAGATAAATGTTTCCTAGATAAGATCAAGTTAAAGGAGTTTATCATCACCCAGCCCTTATTACATGAAACATTAAAGGGACTTATCTAAGAAAAAGAAGATAAAAAATATGAACAGTGAAAGGACAATAAATTCACAACAATCAACAACTGAACATAACACAAACACCACCTAAAGAAACAACTAGAACAAGAACAGAATCACAGAAATGGAGATCACATGAAGGGTTTCAGCAGGGAGGGGGAGAGGGGAGAATGGGGGAAAAGGTACAGGGAATAAGAAGCATAATTGATATGTACAAAACAGACAGGGAGAGGTTAAGAATAGTATGGAAAATGGAGAAGCCAAAGAACTTATAAGTACGACCCATGAACATGAACTAAATAAGCCAGGAGCAAATGCTGGAGGGAACAGGAGTACCACCAGGCAGAAGGGAATAAAGGGAAGATAAAAATGACATAACTGTAATAGCATAATCAGTAAAATATATTTAAAAAAAGAAAATATACAGCCATTCACAGAGTTGATATCTATCAAGTGAAAGGCCCTATGTGACAACAACCCTTCATTTCCACAGTGAGAACACAGAACTGAACTATGACGACACGGTACGGGTACATACCCTGTGGTATGAAGAGCCAAAGAGAGAGGCAACTAAACTAGTTAAAAATGGTGAGAAAGTGTCACTAGAAGGAGACATGTCGATTGATCATTTCAGTTGAAAAAAATATCCACAAACATGGTTGCCCATGAGAGCATGGGACATGAGAGGACCAATAGCCTTGGGACTGGAGAAATAAAGAATAGGAGGAAAGTAACAAGTTGTGAACGTGGATGGGAACTAAGGAATCTAAATGGAAAGTTATTAGGTTTTATCTAGGTTAACATAATTATATTGGGTTGATCCAAAAGTCTGTTACTTTTTTTCTGTATGACAGCTCTTAGTTGTCTTTAACATTATTCAAAACAATTTTGTTAGACTGTATTTTGACAGCAGTCATAATGGCATGCATTTGGAAAAAAATTATCAGAGACTTCCAGCCAAGATGGAGAAGTAAGCAGACACATTGGAATCACAGCAAAAGAAGGACAACAAATTTGAAAACAAAAACAAACAGAACTGACAGAAAATCGAACTGTATAAAAGTCCAACAACCAAAGAGTTAAAGAAGAAACCTTCATCCAGACTGGTAGGAGGGGAGGAGATGGGCATCCAGGGCAGAGAAGACTGGAGGCAAGGCAGTGGCTGGAGGACCAGGGTGAGCGGGTGGTGTCTGGTGGACTGGGCGAGGCAGCAGCTTGCAGACTGGGTTCTCCCACTATCGAATGCTGATAAACCAGAGGAATAACTGAGAAGTGAGCCTGACTGCACAACCCAGGGTTCCAGTGCAGGGGAAAAAAGCCTCAAGGCCTCTGACTGAAAACATCTATGGGGTTGATGTGGCAGCAGGAGAAACTCCCTGCCTAACAGCAGAAGTTCATTGGAGAGACCCATAGGGTCCTAGAATGTACACAAACCTATGGACTGGGGAATCAGCACCACAATTTGTGGGTAGTAGGGGAAGTGACTGAAAACCAGCAGAGAGTTGAAGAGGCACTGTTCCCTCTCATACCCATTCCCCACATATAGCATCACAACACAGCAAAAGGGGTTGCCCTACCCTGGTGAACACCTAAGGCTCCGCCCCCCTATAACGTAACAGGTGCACTGAGACAAAGAAATATGACCCAAATGAAAGAACAAATCAAAGCTCCAGAAAAACAACTAAGTGACAAGGGAATAGCCAATCTATTTGATGCAGAGTTCGAAACACTGGTAATCAGAATGCTCACAGAACTGACTGAGCTCAGTAGCAAAACGGAGGAAGAAATGAAGCTACCCAAAGTGAAATAAAACAAAATATACAGGGAACCAACAGTGACAGGAAAGAAACCAGAACTCAAATCAGAAAGAATGGTTTGGAGCAGAAGGAAAAAAGAAACATTCAATCAGAATAGAATGAAGAAATAAAAATTCAAAAAAATTAGGAGAGGCTTAGGAACCTCTATGACATCTTCTAAAAGTTCCAACATCTGAATCATAGGGGTGTCAGAAGGATAAGATGAAGAGCAAGAAATTGAAAACTTAGTTGAAAATATAATAAAGGAGGACATCCCCAATCTGGCAAAGGAAATAGACTTTCAGGAAGTCCAGGAAGCTCACAGAGTCCCGAAGAAGTTGAACCCAAGGAGGAATACACCAAGGCACATCATAAGTACATAATCCAAGATTAAAGATAAGGAGAGAATCTTAAAAGCAGCAAGAGAAAAGGAAACAGTTACTTACAAAGGAATTCCCATAAGGCTATCAGCTGATTTCTCAAAAGAAACCTTACAGGCAAGAAAGGGCTGAATAGAAGTATTTGAAGTCATGAAAGGCAAGGACCTACATCCAAGATGACTCTATCCAGCAGAGCTATCATTTAGAATGGAAGGGAGACACTTCATCTGGGAAGCACTTTATCTGCCTCCCAGATAGATAAAGTGGTTCCCAGATAAGGTCAAGTTAAAGGAGTTCATCATCACTCAGCCCTTATATGAAATGTCAAAGGGACTTATCTAGGAAAAAGAAGATCGAAAATATGAACGGTAAAATGACAACTCACAGCTATTAACAACCAAACCTAAAAAATACAAATAAATAAACTAAGCAAACAACAAGAACAGGAACAGAATCACAGAAATGGAGATCACACGGAGGGTTATCAGCAAGAGAGTGAGAGGGGGAGAGAATGGTAAAAGATACAGAGAATAAGTAGCATAAATGGTAGGTAGAAAGTATACAGGGGGAGGTTAAGAATAGTATAGGAAATGTAGAGGCCAAAGAACTTAAATGTATGACCCATGGACATGAAGTATAAAGGGGGGATGTGGGTGGGAGGGGCTATACAGGGCAGAGGGGAATAAAGGGGTGTAAATGGGACAACTGTAATAGCATATCAATCAAATATATTTTGAAAAACTTATCAAAATTGGTGAATTTTTGTGTAGCCATTTTAATATTGAAGATGGAAGAAGATACACAACATTTTCAGGATATTATGCTTTAATATTTCCAGAAAGGTAAAAACACCACTGAAACGTAAAAAAACAAAATCTGTGCAGTGTGTGGAAAAGGTGCTATGACTAATCGAACATGTCGAAAGTGATTTTCAAAACTTCTGTGTACTACTGACATTTTGGCCACATAATTCCTTGCTATGGGGCTGTGTTATGTATTGCAAGATGTTTATTTAGCAACAGCCCTGGCTTCTATAGGTTACAAGGCAATAGTGAAAGATGGCAAACATACTCAAAATATCCAAATCAATAGTTATTGGTGAAAATGAAAAATGTGCCTTTTATTTTACAGAAAAAGCTAAACAATATATTTGGCCAACTCAATAATAGTGACATTTTTAAAAGGTAACTGCAGTGGCTCTCTAGAAAGCCAACAAAAGGACAGAGGCAGATGCAGTCCTTCTCTGGTTCAGATACAGAGGCACAAAGCCTAGATCACTATGGACATATTTATGCTAATGGGCAGTAAAATGCATGGGGTGGTATGCGGGGTATCTCCCCATGTTACGCTCAGGCAACCAGATGAATGGTGACAACAAAAAGTGTGGTGAGCAATAAAAAAAAAAGTCGGTGTTACACATGCTCACAGCAGGTGATCTGGCAATACAGATATTGCCGAGACCAGAGAATAGCTAAGGTAAAGCAGCAAGACTGCAAAATGCAGCTGAAGGCAGATTATCTGATGTGAATATCAACAAATGGCAGGTAGAGGAAAAAAAGGGGAACCAGTAAATGAACCTTTGATCTGAAATCCTAGTTGGGTCAAGATAATACAACATAAGAACAAATCAAATTTGGAGTGCACTGGTGGTAATTGTAATCCTAAAGCTGTTGAACATTTGAAAGCATTTAAAATTACTTTAGGGTTAATTTCAAAATAATCAAGGACATTTTTACCAGTCTAAAGTAGGCATTACCTATCCTGAAATAACCATCTTCTAATCGTTTATCTTTGGTTTCCTTGCTTATTTCCAAACCTTCACTCTAAAACAAAACAAAAACATTAATTTTATAAACTCTGCCATTTAAAACAAAGATAAGTTATCAATATATTTTAATAAAAATAAAAATGGCATTTGTGGCACAGCTATATCTAAAAACAGAAAATATCATTTCAGTCTTAAACCTTAAAAGGCTTATGGGATTGATAAGCCTTTTAAGGTTAATGCATGTTCTTTTCTCTAACTATCATCTGAACCTGTATACGATATACTGGTGATTAGGAATTTAAATTTTAGATAATTTAAAATTCAAATCAACTTAATAAAACACTAATTTCTATTAAAAATATACACAAGAACTGTGTGCTAACTTGAAAGAGATCTAAGCATTCCTTAGAGGCCAATACATTAATTCTAATCAATAGGCATTAAAACCACATGGTATTTGAGGACTCAAAATACAAATGGCAGGTAAACATTAAAGTAAAAGAATGATTCATTTAATTTCCTAGTATAAACTTCCAAGTATTTTCCAACAGGAAACTAAATGAAGGCTCATTCTATGAATAAGGCAAACAAGACAATATAGTAGGTGTTCCATATTTCAAAAGAAATTAATATTACCAATGAGGTCCCACAATAATGAAAATTTTCTTTCACCTTATAAATAAGAATAGCCTCAAACCAAGTCTATTGGTATTCTTAAGGAAAATTAAGGGGAAAAAATAGTCATACCTTAAAAGGCAAAACTTCCACAGATGTGTTTAGCAGCATATCTCCTGGATGTTCTTGGTTGCCACTATGGAACAAATAACTAAAAATACAAACATAAAAATAAAAATACAAGTCAGACTAAACTTTACAAATGTTCAAGAAGGTGGCCTTCCTGCAGAGGAAGCTTTCTACAGAAGCTGACACTAGAACTTGTAGTAACTGCACATTATGTTCTGAATTATGGGGAATTAAAAACTGAAGGATTGCAAGCCTTGGGTGACATATTAATGCCTTCTATTAGAAGGTGCATGTTTGTCATTTAACATAATAATGTACTTAACAAGATTTAAAATTATGAGTTTTATGTTGCTGTTTATATGGCTTTAAATATATGTACTTATTGATAGGAATAATCAAAACTGCATTATAATACTATGTCTTGATCAGAGATAATTTTCTGCACGGAAAATTTTCTGCATGGAAAATTTATAGCACAGATATAAGTTGTTGTAAGGTCAAAGACTAGTTTTATCCAATACAAATAATTTTAGTATTAGTAGAGTAAAAATGACTTAACCAATCCCAAACATCTGAATAATTCCATCTATCCGTGTTAACAAATATTTGAATAGTGACTGATTACATGACATACTGTGGTAAATCTAAAACACTCTTTGGGTATGAGTATTTTATTCTTATGTTTTGATACTCTGAAAACTAGTATGTGTGGGTAAGTGGAGGAGGGTGGAAACCAGACAGGGCACAAAAAGCATATCTAAATCCAAATCTATAACTTAAGATTAGTTAACTCAATTGGTTAAAAGTTTATGCTTAGTAGTCACAAACACCTGCACCCAAGTTCTAGGTGTCCCAATTACTAGAATTTTCACCTTAGCAAGTTGCATTAGCTTTCTGAACCTGAGTGTCATCTGTACAATGCAGATATTCTCACCCTCACATGACTATTATCAAGAGGTTTATGAGAACTGACAAAAAAGTACCTTGCATATTAAAAATGTTCAGCAAGTAATAGTTACAACAGAGCTCCGACATGGTTACAGCATGATATTTGTGGGCAGAAGGCATCTACAATGAGGACTTGCTTTGCAAATGTTACACAGGTCAGGGACCCTAATAAGCAACTACTTCTAAGCTACACCAAACATTACTTCTGGAATTTTCTTAAGACATGTGTTTTTAAGACTTCTTTGCCTTGGAATGCTCTATTATATAACCATGCGCCATTTGGTATCTCATCTATAGATGCAAAAACATGAGTGGATATAATCTGGAGTTTAGACAAGTTGATTCAGAGCTGTTTGATATGCAATTACCCATAGTGAAAAAATATCACTAAAAATTTAACATTAAAAGAAGTAAATGATGGTGGAGCCATGCCTGTGCAGCCACTAAAATGTTCACAATCATATATGACAGAGTATAATACTAGAAAATATAAGATATAAAATTACATGTACACTATGACCTCAAAGTAGAAAGCACACAGAATAACCAAGAAAAAAAATGTGCCAATGTGGTCACAATGGTGTCCTTGGAGTTCTGATTCTTTTCCTTATCCTCAGACTTTTAAATTTTTGTATAATGAACACATATCATGCTATATAGTCAGAAAACATTTTTCCTAACACGTCATGTCTATATTGATAAATACGACTTCTGCTTTCCCCCTCTTAGCATGTAAGTTATTATGAAAATCAAAAAGTGATTCCTTTTCTTCTGTCCTAGGAAGGGTGGGCCTATCCAAGAACACTAAAGTTCATAAATGAGTTTCTAATAGTTTCTACTAGAACTTTAGTTTCTAAAGTTCATATATGAGTTTCAGTAGCAGCATGTAAATACTACTTTACAGAGATTTACTGTAAATGTACTTGTACTTATTGTTATAAAATTTGATCTTCAATACATGAGGTTTTTAGGCAGATTCTTCAATGAAATTTTCATTTGCTAAAAATAAACCAATAGACATGCTTGAGGCTGTTCTTGTTCATCAAGAAGGTGAAAGAAAATAGTTGTTTCTCTGAGTGTAGTAAACAATACCTCAAAGCCCAGATAATCACTATATAGTATAAAAATAAACATTAAATAACAAATATTACATACTCATTTAAGTACAAAATATTACTTAACAGTACTTCTATGTTTTTTCCAGTGATACCCCATTGCTTAAAACATTTTCACACTTAAATTTCTCCTTAGAATCCATTTAAAGTAACTAAAGAAAATTAAAAATATTATAGCTATGCATTATTTTTGTCCACCTTAAACAGAATTACTCCAAATGACCTCTGGCATATTCTAAAAGCCAAATGACCCTCTCAGGAGAACACATAACATAATAAACCACAGGCTAAAGAATTGTATTCTTTTCTGGGGATCACATGTGAATATGCTACACACAGTCTGGGAAACACAGCCAAAGCTGAGAAAGTCTGAAGGACTCATGACGCTAAATAAAAAATGGAGAGAAAGAGTCCTAAGCTTTATACAATGGATGTAAATGTTGGAAAACATAAAAGGGTTGTGAATTCCTCCATGATGTAATAAAAGTAACCCAACAACTGCAAAACCATTGAGTGGATATAATCTGGAGTTTAGAGATAGTCACAGTATATTAATCTTGCCATTTCAACCAATATTCTAAATAGTCAACCAGCTCTCACTCAAATCTTAAGGGATATTCCAGGATAAGGATAAGAATACAAATTTGAGATTTTGTGGCACAGTTCTACATGTAAGCATTAAAAATATACTAAATATATGTTTAAACATAGCAAAAGAATTTATCAAACATGCTAAATGTTTTTATATCTGAAAACACCACACCCATTTTCTTATCAAGTTATAAAAATATATACTATAACCCAACATTTGGAACCTACTGTCTCCTCATATCTGTTATACACACAAAAAATTCCATCATAAATCACTCACAAAAAGAAGTTTTAACTGTAAGTCCAAATATATTTCAATAATCACCAACCTTTCTACATTGACTGGCTTATCAAATTTAAACAAGATGTAGTCTCCTGCCACTGGGGTTATAGCCCAGAAGAAATCCTCCCCCATATATGTTTTCTCCAGTGTATGTCCTTGGTAGACCTTCAAAGAAGTAGATACTTCTGCAGGTGGGTTTACATGGATTTTTAGAAGTAATGGTTTCATATAATCTTTATCCTAGGAGGAAAGACATATATGCAATTAAAACAATCTATAGCTTATTTATACTTAAGAGTACTGATAATCCACTACATAACAAATTGTATGTTAATGAGAAAAATCAAACAAAATCACCAACCGTAAGTTTCTGAATTTTTCCTGTTAGTGAAGAATGCAGACCAACATGTTGAAAGAGGGAAGGTCTGAAGCGAATTCGTAGATTTGCTTTCTGTCTATCACAATGTTTCTAATTAGGAAAAAAGTCATGTTAGTGTTACATTATAAAGTGAAATCCTGTCACCTGAAAAATGAGAAGTTCTTCAGGTAAACACTGAAAAGAAAATCCAACTTAATCTCATAATTACAAATCACATTTTTTAGGGTCCTCATTGAGGCATTAATAGACTTACTACTGACCTGATAAACAGACATGATGCAGAAACTTAAAATAAGCACATCTAAGGGAAGAGCTAAAAATTTAATTTCAACCATTTCTCAAGATATGTCAAAATAGACTTGACTTTTAATATTAAAGTGCATAAACTCCAAACTAGGGGTTTAGGTCAAATAGAAAAAATATACAAAAAGATAACAGAATGAAGAATATGCAAATAGTATAAGGAACATTTTATTACATGAAAACAACCTGAACATGTGAAGCAACAACTTATATAAGCAAGTAAACCACATTAAATGTTTCACAGACAAATCTGTCTTGGCACAGTTACAGGACACCTACTTTTCAATTTAAAGTGACTCATGACTCAGACTTCAGATTACAACCTGACCTCAAACTTGATCATAGTGAGACATCAATGATGTCAGCAGGATTATCAATGGGAGTTAGTCTGGTGCTTCAAGGTAGCCATGACTAGCTGGTCATGCTTTCATCAACTCTTCATTTCAATGACTTTTCATAAACTTTTAGAGCAACAACATATTGAAAAAGACATATTTATAAAACATTTCTACTATGAGTGAGAACAGAGGGAACATTCCTCAACATAAAAGAGGCTATGTATGAGAGACCTACAGCCAACATCATACTCAATGGGAAAAAACTTAGAGCTTTCCCACTAAGATCAGGAACAAGACAAGGATGCCTGCTTTTACCAGTCCTATTCAACATAGTACTGGAAGTAATCCACAGCAATCACAGAAGAAAAAGAAAGAAAAGGCATCTAAATTGGAAAAGAGGAAGCAAAACTATCACTTTGCAGATGACATGATAGTGTACATAGAAAATCCTATAGACTACACCAAAAAACTACTCAAACTAGTAGTTTTTTGGCAAAAAACTACTAGTGAATTTGGCAAAACAGCTGAATACAAAGTCAACATTCAGAAATCAAAGGCAGTTTTGTACACCAACAATGAAATATTAGAAACAGAAATCAGGGAAAAAACCCATTTGATATAGCAACAAGAAAAATAAAATAAGTAGAAATAAACCTAGCCAAGGAGGTAAAAGACCTGTACTCAGAAAACTACACAACACTAAAGAAAGAAATTAAGGAAGACACAAACAAATGCAAGCATGTATCATGTTCATGGATTGGAAGAATTAACATCATCAAAATGTCCATACTAACCAAAGCAATTTATAGATTCAATCCAATCCCTACTGAAGTACCAATGGCATATTTCACAGATATAGAACAAACATTTCAGAAATTCATATGGGACCATAAATGACCCCGAATAGCTGCAGCAATTTTGAGAAAGAAGAACAAAGTAGGAGTGATCATAATACCTGATATCAAACTATATTCCAAGGCCACTGTAATCAAAACAGCCTGGTACTGGCATAAGAACAGACATATAGAGCAATGGAACAGAATACAGAGCCTAGAAATAAACCCAAGTCTCTATGGTCAATTAATATTCGAAAAAGGGGGCATAAAATAGAGGAAAAATAGCCTCTTCAACAAATAGTGTTGGGAGATCTGGACAGCTACATGCAAAAAAATGAAACTTAATCACCAACTTACACCATACACAAAAATAAATTCAAGGTGGATGAAAGACTCAAATATAAGTCGTGACACCATAAGAGTACTAGAGGAAAACATCAGGAGGAAAATCTCAGACATTCCATGCAGCAACATCTTCATGGATATGTCCCCTAAAGAAAGGGACATAAAGGAAAGAATAGACAAATGAGACCTCATCAAATTAAAAGGCTTCTGCATGTCTAAAGAAAACAGCATTACAATGAAAAGAAAACCAACTATATGGGAAAATGTATTTGCCAATGATAACTCAAGACAAGGGTTTGATCTCCAAAATATGTAAAGAACTCATATGACTTCCACTCCAGAAGACAAAAAACTGAACTAAAAAATGGGCAAAAGATTTGAACAGATACTTCTTCAAGGAGGACATAGAGAGGGCCTAGAGACATATGAAAAGATGCTCAGCACCACTAGCCATCAGAGAGATGCAAATTAAAACCACAATGAGATACCACTTCACACCAGTCAGAATGGCCATCATAAACAAATCAACAAACAAGTGTTGGAGAGGATGTGGAGAAAAAAAAAAAACCTAGTGCACTGTTGGTGGGAATGCAGACTGGTGCAGCCACTGTGGGAAACAGTATGGAATTTCCTCAGAAAACTCAAAATGGAACTGCCTTCTGACCCAGCAATTCCACTGCTGGGATTATATCCTAAGAGCCCTTAAACACCAATCTAAAAGAACCCATGTACCCCAATATTCATAGCAGCACAATTTATAATAGCAAGTACTGGAAGCAACCTAAGTGCCCATCAGTAAATAAGTGGATCAAAAATCTATGGTACATTTAGAAATGGAATTCCACATACCAAAGAGAAAGTAGCTCCTACCCTTTGTGATAGCATGGATAGAACTGGAGAGCATTATGCTAAGTGAAGTAGGACAGATAGTGAGGGACAAATACCGTATGATCTCACCTTTAATTAGAATATAATCAACAAAAGAAAAAAGCAAACAAAATATAGCCAGAGACATTGAAATTAACAACAATTTAACAATAACCAGAGGAGAGGTGGAGGAGACTATGGGGGAAAGGTTTTTAGGAACCTTAAGGACACATTTAGGAACCTTTAGGAACATAAAGGACACATGGAGAAAAACAAGGGGGAGGGTGGAAGCAAGGGAGGGAGGTGGCTTTGGCTGGGGTTGGGGGGAGTGTTGGGGGTAAAATGCAGACAACTGTAATTAAACAACAATAAAATAATTTAAAAAATATTTCCACTTTGAAAGACCTCCAATAATTTACTGGGTGTTAAAAGGCCTGATTTTGGGGGGACAAACTGTCCCTCACATCTGTTACATACACAAAAAATTCTGTCATAAATCACATTATGACTAAGAGGTCCAAATTATAACACCTTGTATATTTCAATAATCACCAACCTTTCTATATTGACTGGCTTATGAAATTTAAATAATAGGTTAGCATTATTTCTAACAATAGGAATGAAATAGTATATTTTATGCATACAAGTTCAACTACTCAAATGGAAGGAGAGGGAGAGGGAAGGAGGAGAACAAAGGTAGGAAGAGAAGAAAAGGACAAATGGGGGCTGAGACTGAGTCAACCACTCCACAGGCAATGGACACATGTGGGCCTACGTCACGGCCCATTGACAGACCTGTGGAGAAATGTGTGAAAGCTCTGAAGTGTTCCCCAGACCACTGTCGGAGAGACTGTTGCAGTTGCCAGCAAGTACAGTAAGAGGAAAAAGTTTCTTTGACAGCCTAATGAGGCAACTGAAGAATTACAGACCATAGAAACATTGTGGCCTAAGAGTAAAAGAATAGACAGAACTGGACAAAGGGCTGTGTACTAAAATTTACCAGTGATTTTAAAGATTTTCATTGTTTTAATTTTTATCAGAGATTTTAACTTCAAGAGCTCATTTTAGAACCTAACCATATATTAGATTAAACTTCATAGGACCAATTAAATGCAAGTATATTTTAGGATTGTAAAGATGACATTCTTTGTGTCCTATAAATAAAAATTCTTGTAATTTACAAAGCAAACACAGGTATGGTTTTCATCATAAAAATGAATTGTTCAAATCAATTTATATATTCAATTTAAATGCTAGAAAGTAGATATTCTTCTGTTTCACTATATTCAACAATATTCACTATATTTCAGTATATTTCTTCTTTCTAAGAAACTGGTTATTTAAAAAAAAAGTAGAAGAAAGATGAATGCAATGATACCTTTATAGATACCAGAAGATAGTGTCCTAAAAGCTAACTGGAAGGTAGGATGACAGAACTATTCTAGGGAGTATAAGATCAAATTAAGTTGAACATCTGTTAGAATAACTATTAAGTCAACCCTATAATGACATATGCTTAAATTAACGTTTACTTGTTATTACATGTCAAAATTTATTCATTTTTAAGAATGTATCAAGGAACATGTATAAAGGACACATGGACAAAGCCAAGGGGTTAAGATCGAGGGTGGGAGGTGGGGATCGGTGGGGTGGAGGGAATGCAGGGGGACAGAGACAACTACACTTGAACAACAATAAAAATAAATAAATAAATAATTTCATTAGGTCGAATATTTGTTAGATTGAAGATTGAATAAAAAGAAAAAAATGTATATCCATATTTTATTTATGTTTATACCAAATAAAATAAAATGAGTTTTCCAGAGGTGTAATTGAAATTGGGCAAGAAAAACTCTTAATTTTTGCATTAAGATTTCTAAGAAAGTAACTTGATATTTGAATAATCAAAGCAAAAATCATCATTCAGTCACCACCACCATCCCATAGGTCAGTGTATATGAACACTGGTTTCTTCCAAGTAATAAACTAAAAGGTACTTTTTAGATTTGCCATTGCTTTAGTATAAAATATTACTTCTCTGTTACTACTTATTTCCAGATGGACAGGGGTCTGATATTGTCCCCAATGTATTTGAAAAAAGAAAGCTGATAGAGAATACGAAGAAAACTGAAATAACAACACACACAGGACAGATATGATCAACACCGACAGTCAACAGTAATGAAATAGCAGAGCCTATTTAAAGAAAGGTGGGCTTTACCGATTTATCAGATTTTCAGACTGCTACTTAAAAGTACCTCTACTATAGAAATTTTGTCAGTTCAAGAAAGAAGGCAAGCACTTGAAATGTTAACTGGAAACACCTATTTCACTATTTAATTACAAAATCTAGCTCTGTAAAAGTCACTTTCACAAAATATAAAAAAGAAGCTTCTTCCACCTTCATAAGAAATTAACTTACTGCATCTTTTTCAGGGTTGCAGACTTTCACCCAGAGAATATGGTCTAAGAGCCAATCAATGGGCTTCTCCTTATAGAACATAAATATGAATTCCACAATCACAGTAAGGTCTGGTGCTTGAAACATTTTACCTGAAAAGATATTCCAGTTAATAGATGTAATAAAGTAACGAAGCATCAATTTAGCTTAAGTGAAACCTATACAACAAATAAATCAAAGCTTATGCTTTCAACTATAAATCATTATGAATAATGTCCTCTCTTGTCTTATCAAAAACAACATATTTGCTTTAGCTAAACACTGAGCTGTCATCTGGGTATAAATGGAAGTACTGAATTCCTGATTTTCTCTATTACAAAATCTGTATGACATACAGATTTTTTTGTAATTCATACTGGTGGTCTGTGATACAGATTTTGTAATATATACAAATTAGAGATTTTTCCTTCATGTCTTATTAAGATTGTCCCCCTTAAAATAAAAGATGTTTCAGTAAAACAAATTTTAAACAAGGACCCCTAATTCTGTCTTCATTTAAACGTTCACAAGTAAAGATGGTTTCTGACTCTTAAATTAAGTTTGAGATACATGACCAACAAGATCAAAGGCCTAGCCTCTAATAAAGTTTTAGAGTACTATTATCCTCTGGGTGTTTTTTAAAATCTGTATATTTCCTTGAATTCTTCATCTTCCAACATATTTTCTTAAGTTGTATAATTTAGGAGTATCAGTGAAAAAAGCCCTTTAAAATGAGCACCCTGAATAGTCAATAAAAGAAACAAATAAATACAAATTAATCACTGAACGGGAAATTCATATACTACATCAAATACCAGGAATTCATATTAGAAAACTGTTTGGCATTCTTAAAAAAAAAATCTTGTGAAAGCAGTGGGCTATAGCAGAAGTATCTGAGAAGAAGTCAGACACTTCTTCTCAGGACCATGGACCTGGACCATGGTCCTTCACCAGAACCATGGCTGGCTTTACACGTGGACATATGGAGCCAATTGGCTGCCTTGGAAAACTCTAAAGTAAATATTACAATCTTAGAAATCTCCAAATACTATCTTGGATAGACTTTCATCATTTACCTAAGCTAAATTTCCTAAAAAACAATGCATTTCCAGAGAGTAAAGACTACTTTATTTTATTTTATTAAAGATTTTATTTATTCATCTCTAGAGAGAGGGGCAGAGAGGGAGAAAGAGATCAAGAAACACTGATGTGAGAGAGAAACACCAATCAGTTGCCTCTTGTATATGCCCTGACTGGAGCTACAATCCAGTCATGTACCCTGACTGGGAATTGAACTGGTGACATTTTGCCTTGCAGAACGATGCCCAACCACTGGACCACAGCAGTCAAGGTGAAAATAAACACAATTTTAACATGTAAAAAAAAATCCAATATCCCAAAAGACAGTTATTTCTGAAAAATAGATAAATCCAAATTTTTCTTACCAATGAAACCCAGCTGGGAGAATTCTAGTATCATCCATTCCTCAGAAGAAAGTTGAAGGGCAAAATTTTTTATAGTATTAAAGTAATTCTGTTTGGCAATAATATCATCTTCAAGCTAAAGAAAGTTGAATAATCACATTAATAAATCAGAAAGAGAAAAATTTTAGATATAAGAACCTTCTTTATTATGAAAAAAATGAACCACCCTTTATCATGAAAACAAGTAAGCAATGGTCAAAAATAATAAAAATACAAAACTAAATTTTATTAAAATAAAATAGAAGATGCACAAAGCAACTAAACCATTCCCTTTCCATGTGAAATATTTGGTCTTTTAATAAAAGTGCCTAACATCAACATAATTTCACACTACCTTTTTTGTTTTTAAAGGAAATATTTGTAGACCTTTATTTTAGTTGTCTGTTTATTTATTTTTGACTTTTTACATGATACACATACCAAGTCAAAGAGAAAGTAAAAAAAAAGGAAGTAGCTTCCCTTCTCTGCCACCTACCTTCCTAGTTGAGGTAGCCGATGTTAAAAGTTGGGTGTGCATCCATTCAACACCTTCTGTATGGACTTATACTGCACAGAGACCCATACATACTTAAGATTTCCATTTACTTCTATGTTTTTATTAAAAGGGGGAATCATATTGTGAATGTTTTTTTCCTCATATATCATGAATTACCTTTCCAGGTTAATAAATACATCCCTTTAAATAAAGTCATAATATCTCATGCTACAGATATGTAACAATTCATTCAACTTGGTGTGCTCATAGGCAGACAATCAGCTTCTCATTTTTTGCCTGTGCAAACAATGCTGTGTTAATATGCTTATACTTACATATTTCCATTTCTGTAGGACAGATTCCTAAAAGTTCCTTTTTATGTTTTTTTTTAATTTTATTTATTTATCTTTAGAGGGGAAGGGAAGGAGAAAGGGAGAGAAACATCAATGTATGGTTGCCCTTTGCGCATCCCCTGCTGGGAACTGGCCTGCAGGGAACTGGCCTGCAACCCAGGCATGTGCCCTGACTGGGAATCGAACCGTGACTGTCTGGTTCACAGGCCCGAACTCAATCCACTGAGCTACACCAGCCAGGGCCCTTTTTATGTTTTAAAAAATATCTTCAAAACTCTTAAGAAGACACAGCAATTCACAGAGTACCAGGTAACCAACCACATGTGTTCTACCAGCACCATGTATTATCAGTGCTTGGAGTTTTTGCCAGTTCGGTAGGGAGTTGGGAGAGATCAGCAATCATGAATGTATGCGGACTTCCTCCATAGGATCTCCTTTAATATCATTTTAAAGTCACAAAATAATTTTAATATCCTAAGAAACCTTTTTCTTTTCTTAATTTCACATTATCATTTCTAGTTACCTGCTAAGTAATTTTCACTTATTTTAGCAGATAATGTTTTCATGTATTTAAATCCTATAAGATTTCTTCTATCTGGGAAGAAACAGTAGTAGCATTTGAAAAGATATGATAATAACTCACCAAATATTTATTGAGCTTTTATTATGTTCTAGACACTGAACTAAACCCTGGGAATATATCACTGGCATACAAAGGTATCTACAACATGCTAAGTAACAGCAAAATAGGCTATCAAACAGTAAGTACAGTATAATCCTGCTCTTGTAAAAAGGGTCTTATTAAGTGATTTTATATGTAAACCATAAACTATAAAAAACAATACCTGACACAGGGTAAGCATGCAATGAACGCTAGTTCATAGCTGCTGCTGTTGTAATACTGACCCCTGCTGTTACATACTGACCCTGTTTAGGAGAAGTTTTCTTTATTATCTTTCTAAACTCCATCTTTTAATTTTCTAAGTATTTAATTTCCTACACTCCATGAAAAAGCTTTAAAGTTCCATTAATTCCCTCCTGGAAAGAAATTGAAGGCAAATTTTAAAAGAAAAGTAATTTACTTGTAAATTCTCTCTAAAAAGTTCTTTTTAAAAAATATGTATGTATTTAATAAAATCTGTCTTCCGTCTTTTCAGTAAAGTCACCAATAATGTTATAATCAACAACTTCACATAATTTGTATTCTATTAAGAGGGATGATCTAAAGGATTAAAAAATAAAATGTAACTGCATTCAAGGATACAAAATTTAGATATAGTTTCAGAAAAAATGTAACTTAAACATTAAAAAATTAAAATTTGAAAAATTTATTGTTCAATATTTTCAGAAGTTATTTTCTAAAATATTGAATTTAGCTATTAAATTTAAAAGGTAAAATACAAATAATGTTCAATTGTTAAAAACAAAATCATTTAATTTTAACTGATTAAAATTAAAATTTTAATTTTAATTTAATTAAAAGCTAATCTTTTAATTTGTAAAAATATATTGTTTTATTAACTATTCTTATCAAAAATCATTATTGCATACATATATTTAGATCCTCAAATTTAAGAATAAATGGATTGTTTCATATTGCAAAGCATTCTTCAGTTCTTAACTATAGTGTAAATATTTATATAGTGGCCCTAGAACAAACAGCAAGGTTTAACTACGGTAATATTTGGGATATGTTAAAATATATTTTTTGGTATATTTTATTGATTATGCTATTATAGTTGCTCCAATTTTCTCTCTCCCCTTTATCCCTGTCCGCCCTATACCATCCTACTCTCCTGCATTCCCTACCTTTACTTCATGTCCATGGGTTGTACATATAAGGTCTTTGGCTTCTCCATTTCCTATTCTATTCTTAACCTCCCCCTGTCTATTCTGTGCCCACCTTCTTATTCCTGGTACCTTTATCCCCATTCTCCCCCCTCCACCACCACTGATAACCCTTCTTGTGATCTCCATTTCTGTGATTCTGCTACTGTTCTAGTTGTTTCCTTAGGTTTATTTTGGTTTTGTTTTTAGGTTCAGTTGTTGATAGTTGTGAGTTTGTTATCATTTTACTGTGCAAATTTTTTATCTTCTTCTTTTTCTTAGATAAGTCCCTTTAACATTTCATATAATAAGGGCTTGGTGATGAATTCTTTTAACTTGACCTTATCTGGGAAGCACTTTATCTGCCCTTCCATTCTAAATGACAGCTTTGCTGGATAGAACAATCTTGGATGTAGATACTTGTAATTCGTGACTTGGAATACTTCTTTCCAGCCCCTTCTTGCCTGAAAGTTTTCTTTTGAGAAATCAGCTGGTAGTCTTATGAGCACTCCTTTGTAGGTAACTCTCTCCTTTTCTCTTCTGTTTTTAAGATTCTCTCCTTATCTATAATCTTGGGTGACTTAATTATGATGTGTCTTGGTGTGTTTCTTCTTGGATCCAATTTCTTTGGGACTCTCTGAGTGTTCTAGACTTGCCTGTCTAGTTCCTTCACCATACTGGGGAAGTTCTACTTCACTATGTTTTCAATTTCCTGCTCTTCCTCTTCTCCTTCCGGCACCCCTATGACTTGGATATTGGAATGTCTAAAGTTGTCCCAGGGGCTTCTCCTCATTTTTTTGAGTTCTTGTTTCTTTACTCTGTTTGGCTGGATGTTGATATTTTCCTTTTCTTCCAAATTGTTGATTTGAGTCCCAGTTTCCTTTCATTCACTGTTGGTTCCCTGTATATTTTACTTTACCTCCTTCATTTTGCGACCTAACTCAGTCAATTCTGTGAGCATCCTGATTACCAGTGTTTTGAACTGTGCATCTTATAGGCTGTCTACCTCCTTGGCACTTAGTCTTTTTCTGGAGTTTTGATCTGTTCTTTCATTTGGGCCTTATTTCTTTGTCTCAGTGCACCTAACTGGATGAATGTTTCTTTAATTCCTTGATTGTTGGATTTCCATGCTGTTTGATTTTCTGACAGTTCTGTTTTTTTGTAAATTGTTTGTTATCCTTCTTTTGGTTGTGCAAGGAAGTGAAGCATTTCTACCTATGCCTTCATATTGGCCAGAACTCTAGATTCACCAAAATAAATATTTTGAAATGACTATTTTTGAAATTAAAAATTAAGACTTCTCTAACGTATTTAAAGAAAATGTACTCTCTAAATTTAGGATATTAGTTTTTATATGCTCAACTGTTGTATACTGTCATATATAATATTAAATTCTGACCCTAGGGTCATTTACATCTCCATTTCTGTGAACCAAGGCAGGGTTCATGCACATGTGAATGAAGCTGGCCCAAGGTGAAATGTCAAGGGAGACAAAGTCTGACCTCAATAAGTCTACCTTCCCATGTGATGACAAGCTTCTTCCTTCTTTCCTCCCCTCCCAACACCCTCCCAACTTTCTCAACCCCTTGGAGCAGCCCACCATTTCCTTTCTTGATTCAGAGACCCATAACCTCTTCTTGACATTTTCATCAAAACATCCTCTTAGGTAAGGATCTAGTGAACTTTTTATACTGAAAAATAAATAACCAACAGGCTTTGTGTGCTATTCCTCTTAGGGGTGTTTACATTTCAAGCAAGGGATGAAGGCCTTTGGTGAAAGAAACAAAATTCCAATAGAAAAATTTAAGCTTAAGTCATTGAGGAAAATGAGATTTGAAAGAAATAAAAGCTTTCTAGATTATTGAGATGTTGTCTACCTGGCTAACTCAAAACTCTTATCCCTATAGATTTATTCTTTTAGCCATGCTGCTAAATTAAATGTCAGTTTTATTATCTTCAATATAAATGTAATTGTCCTGTGGCACACAAATAAACTATACTAATAAGACCACTAATAACATTTTTAGGAAATCCTTCTTTAAAAATTTCCCAAAGGAGGCTGAAGAGAGAAGATGGAGGGCTGGGAGAAGAGGAAGGAGATGAGCGATCTGTCCATTGTCACACCAGTAAGTGGAGAGCTAGTGTTTGCACTAAACTAAAGAACAGAACCTCAAAGTCTACATTTTCACTGACAGTGATAAACCCTTCTGCTCTCTGATATATGTATTGTTATAACCTTATAAATCTCAAGAGGGTTTATGCTTTCGACACATTCTATTTTAATGAAAGTATACCCTTGATGTTACTTTTTCTTTAAACATGTGAAAAACATTAAAGGAAAAAACCATACTTACCTGGATGTAATACATGCCCTTTTCCTGAGCATACATCATTAGAAAACAGTAATCTAGGTTTTGCTTTGTTCTCCATCTGAAAGAAAAATGTTCAGAAATAAGTTTGGAATTGGACTCAAATTAAGCAAAATAGAATTAAAATTATTATATTTTATAATGTTATGATATAATATTCAATAGTATATTCCTATATTACAGACATGGTATGTATATGATATATTCTATACACATGATGTATATGCAATATATCTATATGTCTATATATCTATAAACATATAGATATCTGTATGTTTCTGTATAGATATAAACATATCTATATGTTTAGATATATATAGATATATATATCTGTATGTTTCTGTATAGATATAAACATATCTATATGTTTATAGATATATAGACATATAGATATATTGAAATACACACATACACATTGTATCCACTTAGGAGAGCATGAAAGAGAATTCAGTTTTCTCTAATGAAGCCTTTATCAAAATGTATATCCCAAAACACTAATTCTCAAGATACCCTGACAAAAAAAGGAGTCTACTATCAAGGAAGCTTCAGAAGCACGGATATTCCCCCTCTGGAGATATATTAATACATATTTAGAGGCACTGAAACATCCTGCAGTAAAACACACTTATTTTTTAAAAATCTGCAATTCAGTATTTTCCAAACTTCCTTGGCCCTTTTTTTCTTAACCTCTTAATGTCTCCGGGGACTTGTGCTCCATAAATTACACTTTGAGGATCACTGCTCTGGTGGCTAGGACTGTGCTTCAAATAAGTAGAAATTAATAAATATGTATTGAATGCTTAAAAACTCAAAACATCCTATTATTAACTATAATTTATAATATTAAGTCCTTTCAGTGAATCTTGGTAGCCTACAGAAACTGACTAATGTTAGATAAGAAAAGTAGTTCTAAAAACCAAGTGAAAAAAAAAAGTAAAATAAAAGCTTTGAATCAGACTAAGCAAACTTTTCCATAATATATGAAACTACCTAGAATTTTTTACCAAATGCAACCCTAAATATTTTTAAGACAAAATTATACTTACTGAGAGATAATTAACCAATTATGTGGACATATCTGTCTTTGGGACAAATTAACAACTCAAGAAGTACAACAAATCTCTTCCCCCAATACCATTTTCTTTATTTTGTCTCGTTACATAAAATCCCAAACTAATTCCAATATCTTAGATTACTTAGTTTTTTCACACAATGAAAATTACATCCTTCAATTTTAGAGCTCTAAAGACAAATTCGACTGATTAATTATTATGACATAATTTTGCAGAATGGTATCGCTGTTTTTGTCACTTTTATTGAGTCAGTTCTCATTTCCATTGTAGACAGACATGACATTTCTATATGGACAAACTTCTGAGTTATATATAATATACTCTTTAAAAAAGTCATAACATCAGAGCAGCAGTTACAAAAATTATTAAGTTTACCAAATTCAACCTCTCATCAGAACTCAAGAAATTTCAATAAAATACCCAAGAATTCATTAGGTCTCACTAATTGTTTCAACCCTACAACATATGAAGCTTTGGCAAATAAGAACTGCATTAATCATACATTATATTCACAAGGATGGGGGTTTTAAAACACAGGCTCACCTTACTCTTTCTTTGGAGTCTCCAAATGTCTCCTTTAAGTTTGTTAGGTCAGGATAATAGCTTTCAGGAGGTGATATTATTTCCACCAAACCAGAACTGATTTCTTTAGAAAATCTATCATGAGAAAGGTTAGCTGAGTTATTTAAACTCTGTGAGATTTTATTTACCTTAATGTTCAATTCACTGTGTTAACATAAAACACATCAGGAAAGTGTGTTATGGTCACAATGTGTTCAATGAAGTAGCTCATGACTGAGTTGCCAGAAAACACAAATTTTTCCAATACCACAATGATATATTTTTTTAAATAATGCTTTTAAAAAGGTATAAAATGCCACTATTCTTAAAGCAGCATGGAAATCTAGGCCAACTACAGATATTACTTTCCTAAAAAGTATAAAAATTTTAACAAATCAAATCAAGGTTATCACAGAAAATAGGAATTGCAACTAGTAAGTGTGTGTATGTGTATTACATACATCTATTTATGCAAGAATCAAAGCACTTCAATTTTGCTGCAGGTTATACACCGTGCCATTCTAAACGAGTGTTTCTCAACTGAGACGGATCTTGTCCCCTGAGCAATGTCTAGAGACATGTGGTCACCATAACTATGGACAGTACTGACATGTAGGACAGTCCTCACAACAAAGAATTATCTGGCCCAATATGTTAACAATGCCAAGGTTGAGAAAATCTGAAGTGTTTAAAGTCAGTCTTACTCAACTATAATTTCTTTCTCATTTGCCTTCTTCTTTATCTCATTTTTGCAAATCTCCAAAAAATGCTTGTGCAATTTACCCACCTTTGCACAAATGTTCTTAGTGCTTAATTGAACTTTTTTTTTCTGGGCATGGTTTTCCTACACCTTGATTAACAGAAAGGAATCAACAGAATCACTTCATGTGCCCCACAGGGGGCCAAGGGAAGGGAACTAATAACTATTGCCCTGGTCCTACATTAAGGAGTCTATACTGAGCTGTGCTAATATGAAGGCTGCCAAGAAATTGAGGACTTTAGGAAAAATCTAACAAATGCACAGTTTAATCCTGAACTATACTTATATATATACATATACATTTCCATTTTTTAAAAATCTCTGGTTTTAGCATTTTGAAAGAAAAAGATAGAGCTAGAATTGGCAAATAATTATTTCTTCCCTTTTGCCTTTTAAGTAAAAGATAGGTTTGGGGGGACAAAAAGACATACAATTCAATAAAGAAACTATATCAAGATGGAATTTTTAATGTTTCTATCAAAAGTGCCAAGGCAGTACTTTAAAAATCAATGACACCTGAAATTTAGTAAACTTTCCATCTGCTACCTGTGATGTTCTCTGCTGCCAGTAAACTGTTACTCAATCTTTGCAAAAATGATCAGATTTAGATAGTTTAGCAATGAGGTTTGAAACTGCTACATAACAATCTGCCTTGACAGCAGAAAAATATTTTCTTGGTGAACAGAGGGCTAAAGATTTAAGTAATCTCATATGACTCTCTCTACATTCACTGTCTTCTAGATAAAGACTGTTATTTGATAATGTTACATAAATATAACATTCAAATCTTTTCTATAATGAAAAACACCAATTTATACCATCAGATAACTGGACAGATATATACCTACTTTATGACAGTACCAAAGACCAATTATAGGTGGTCCAATGAACACTGAACTACAAAAGAAGGCATTATCTTTTAGCAGAAAGTGAAGAAATAATAGCAACAATTATTTTCACTTCCATAATTAAGAAGAACTTACTCTTTCTCCAGGTTGGCTATAACACCGTGTACATAATCAATATCTGTCTGGGAAAGAAAAAAAAATTGTACCTACATGCATTGTTTATATATTTTTATTTAACTTTTAATACTGAACTCAAAATTAAATAAATGAATAAAACATTCATTGAAAACATTACATTAAATTTTCAGATAGCTTATGGGATTTGCCTTTCTGTAGTCTACCTTACTGCACCACTATGTATCACTGAGTACTCACAGATACAATAAGCAGACAACTAAGTTTTAATTATTTTCAATCGTCAATGTTCAACTCAAAAGAAAAAAATTGAGCACAGAAACGGTTTCTTCTTCTGAAATATCCAAACTATAAGTAATGAGTAAATAACAGCTGCAGCATTTATAGGGAAAGATTTGTCCACTTGGAATCATAAAACCTAGCTTTGAAATTTGCCTCTGTAGCTACTGGCCTTTGTAAAGTAAGCCACTTCTCTGAGCTTCTGTTTCCTATCCATTAAAAAAAATGGAAGGAAAAATACCTCAGAGACTATGATCATAAGTGATACAAATATAACAAAAAAGCTTAGCTATTATTCTGTATTTTTATTACCAGGTTGATAATGAAAACCCAAGTCAGGAGCACTTTCAGCACAATTAGAAATAAAATGTATTAGACTTGTGTACTTTCAAATTATATACAAGTGCAGAGCTAATACTCCTATCAATTTTAAATTCAGTGGCAGCTTATATTAAAATGTTAAATTGTTAAAAGAATTCAATGACACATCAAGTCTGATCTATGTTAACGGACCACCAAAATACTTAAAACTTTACAAAAAACAAAGATAAAGTTTAACCCTAAAAGTGACAAAACTTTTGCATTATAAAATGTTGTTTCATAAGAGGTTTTATGCAAAGGTATCTTAACTTTAATTTCTGTAAATTGAAAATAATTCCTATTTTTATTGTTAAATTTATAGACTTAGAAGTGAGATATCTTATTAAGACCACATCCTTCACACTCCGAATAACTATGGGGCTACAACTAGAACACAGCCCACAACTCTGTGTACTTCCCCTATATAAATGTAAACTTTTTCAATAAATTATACCCAGGTACATGTTTAACCAGTGAGTATCTTACTACTTGTTAGGTTATAATTTTGGACAACATGATCAAATGTGGTTTATATAAACTATAGTTAAGTTTAGGAACAACCTGAACTTCAATTTAATAAGTATTTACTGAGTATCGGTAATTTTCCTATCCAAGCAAACAGAAATACAAAGATGAACGAGACCAGCTCCCTATCCTCAGGAGGCTCTCCAAGAGGAGAGCCAAGAAGAATAAACTTATATGAATGTAGATTTATTGTGCCATATATAATAAAATTTATGAAACGCAATATCTAATACTACATATCTAATACTCCATATCTAATACTACACATAATCCTTATGTTGCATGCTAAATTATATAACTAAATTATATGATCTTATATAAAAGATTCACTTGAATGACTGTAACTGGTGTCATTTTCATACAACAGAATCAATCCTTTCTGCTATCAGCTGAGGGAACTGTTCTGGGACTTCTCTGAAGAAAGCCAAACATATAACTGGCCCAGAACACACAGCCAGGCCCATCTGTCTCCTGGTAGGGGCTCTGCTTGCCTCTCCCCCACTCTTAAATGCTGGCAGTAAGAAAGGTGGTCTCTGAGGTTTTGAAGCATACTTGATTTATGTAGAGAACTTTCTCCTGAGACATTTTTAAAGGCACATGGAGACTTAAAAAAGGTAATATTATCCAATTCTGAGAAAGTATCTGTAAAACTCAAACTAGAACATGTATATTCTAGGGGTTGTAAATAATATATGTCAATATATTTATATTGAAACTAGAAGATATTACTGATAATACTGCAACATGCATGAAACTCAAAAACATGCTAAGTGAAAGAAGCAAGTCACAAAGACCCATATATTAATATGACTGAGCTTATTAAATCTAATTCTGAACATTTTATATAAAATGTTCAGAAATAGCATCACTACTGAATGTAATAGCTGTTGTGCTCTGTAACACTGCAGAGATGTGTGAAAATGAGTAAAAAGATATTTTAAATAAATTATATATATTAACCCACAACAGAAAGTTGTGGGTAAGCTCCTATGGAAGAAAAATAAATCTTGCAAATGTTAGAGACCTGAAGCCGCTGCAAAAGAGTTACCCAGATGAAAAGGAGAAAAAACATTTTAAGTACCAGATCAGAAGAGAACACAGAATTAAGAGAACTAAGTTTAAATAACTTGAAGGTAATATTTGGTATTAAAAATATTCTTTATATGTAAAATTACTGTCTTCTTTCCAGTCATCTCACCCCCACAAGCATTTACTTGGTGTCTGTACCATAAGTGGGAAGATGTTGTCAAGCTCTGTGTATAGAATGGTAATTAAACAGACAAGATCTCTGCTTTGTGGAATTTAAAACTAGTGAAAGTTGCAGTCCATGAAAATATTATATATAAATAACCAAAATATTATATATAAATATATGATTGAATATTTATTAAGCACTATACAAACTATACATAATGACAAAGGAAAAAAGAGATGTTCATTTACACAGGATGGTCAAAGAAAGTCTCTCTGAAGACCTGACATTTAATCCTAAATCTGATATGTATATTTCTATTCAAATCTACAAAAATCAACAGAAAACACTAAAAATATTACTGTAGGTTAACTGATATGTTAATTAAGGCTTTGCCTCTGCCCAGAGACAGAGTATGTGCAAGATAATCCACTGGAATATATCAGACTATAAAATTTTCTATTTTTGATATATTTTAATGGGTGTAACATGCTATTAATAGTACACATATATAATTCATAAATTATACGTATAAGTCAGGAACATGTGATCAATGGAATTCTGAGCAGAGAAGCTTAGATAGCGCCTATATTGGATGAGTCTCAGTAAGACAGGTTAAATTAGCCAAATAGCTCATAAGGTGGTCTGGGGAAGAAAACAGCTCATAAGGTGGTCTGGGTAATAAAAATAAAGATGATATCTACCACCTTTGATGGTTGCCTTCTAAATAACCTCTTATAACTTTATATCATTAGGTGGAGAGCATCGTTCAAGCCTTCTCTATCCTTACTCATTTACTGTCTACCCATTCTATCAAGTACTGAAACAAACTGCATTTGAAATTGTAAACAAAGATTATGAAAGGACTTATGTAGGTCTCAGAAGCCCACTGGTCAAAGGTCCACAGCCTGTGACACAGCAGGAGGGCAGGCAAGCAAGTACTGTGAATAGGTCCTCAGGGCGCCCACCTGTAGAAGGGATAGAGGTTGGGGTTCCTTCCAGGTTTTACAGTTGCCCATAAATCTGGGTGTTAAGAGGTTGTATGCAGCATAAACTCCATGTAGTGTTGATTGATTAAATGTAAGATAATTTTTAAAAAGTGGGCTTTCTACCCCAGCACATTTTTTAAGTCTTTTACTCTACATATTTTATGTTGGATAGATTCTATTGTTATCCTCTTAAGTTCCCTGATCTTTTCTTCTGCTGTGTACCATCTGTTATTAAGCCCTTGCAGTGAATGTTCAATTTCATATATTGTAATTTTCATCGTTTTATGTTCCATTCAATTCTCTTATATATCTTCCACTCCATTCCTCATTGTGTTTGAAGTACTTGAAAATGTTTACAACAGCTGTTTATCGTCCTTATCTTCCAGTTCTATCAATTCTGTCATTTCTGTATTTATTTCTATTGGCTTAACTTTATTCTAGCTATAGTCACATTTTTGTTTTGCTCCCTGGCATTCAAATAATTTTTATGTGGTACTGGGTATTATACATGCTACATTTTTTAGTGTTCTGATTTTGCTGTCTTCTTTAAAAAGAGTTAAGCTTTCTTTCTTCTACCAGATACCTGTGGATCAGTTGATCCCTTACAGGCCTCTTTTATTTTATTTAATTTTATTTGCTTTTATAGAAAGAGAAAGGGAGGGAGAAAGACAGTGAGAGAAATATTGATGTGAGGAACATTGATTGGTTGCCTCTCGTTCATGCCCCAACCAGGAACTGAACCCATAACCCAGGCATGTTCCCTGACGAAGAATTGAACCAACAACTTTTTGCTTTGCAGGACGATGCCCAACCGTGCCACACCAGTCTGGGCACAACAGTTTTCTAAGTAGTCTCCTTGCTTCTGCCCTTTCCACAGCAATCAGTGTGATACTTCGTTATTCTTGCAAAAAAAAAAAAAATGCCTGTCTACAATCTCATCATGAGAAAATAGCAGACAAATTCAAATTCAGACAGTCTACAAAATAACTTACTAGTATACATTAAAAGTAGCTAAGTTCATAAAAAAAATAAAAAAAAAAAACAAGAGAAAACAGAGGAACTCTCTTGGATAGAAAAAATTAAGGAGTCAGAACAACTAAATAAAATGTGATATTCTGGATTGAACGTTGAAACAGAAAAGTGACCTGAGTTGGAAAAACATGGAATTGGAATAAAGTCTATAGTTTAGCTAGTTGTAGCATAACAATGTTAAGTTACTGGTTTTCAGCATTTTATGGATACATATATAAGTTGTTAACATTAGAACAAGCTGAATGAATGGAATATTCTATATTGTTTTGTAATTTTTCTATAAATCTAAAATTATTTCAAAATAGTGTTTTAAAGTGCCTTAAAGGGAAAAAAAGTAAGTGTCATGTGTCTTCTCTACTCAAAACCCTTAAATGGCTTTACATCATAATTAGAGCAGTGGTTGGCAAAACAGACAGGATGCCTGTTTTCTAAAAGTAAAACTTTATGTGAACACAACTCTACCCACTCATTTAAACTGTATCTATGGTTGTTTTGGGCTACTACAGCAGAGTTCAACAGTTTCTAAAGAGACTATAGCTTCCAAAGCCTAAAACGGTCATCATGTGGCTCTACAGAAATCTCTGCTAGTGCTCTGATTCTGAGAAACAGCAAAGTTCTTACAATGGCCGGTAGCGTCCTACACTATCTGTCCCACTCCTTCTCTGACTGC